GCCAGGCACACAGGACCCGGGCCTTCCTTCTGCCCGCGGTCGTCTGTACCAGGCCCCCATTAGGACACACAGAGGGGGGCTGCTGCCCCCAAAAGCCTTCAGTTCTACAGTTCAGGGGTGGCTTGCTGGGGATCTGCAGGCCTCTGGGCCTGTCAACTCTGCGCCCCCGCCACTGCCCCAGTGCGGGCCCTTCTCCTCTCTGACCACGTCCCACAGTCCCCTCCGGGCCCAACACACACCTGCTCTCGCGGCTGGCTCTTCCCACTGCCCACAGGGAGCTGCCGACCTTTCCGGATCTGGCCCTGCCTTCCCCTCGAGCCTTTCCTCCTGTCCCTTCCCCAGTCCCCAAGCTGCAGCCGCAAATGTAGGGACATCTTCCTTCTTCCTCAGCACCCAGGCCTCCTGCTGGGACCCAGCTTTAGTTCAGGGTCACCCTGCCCCTGGCAGCCCAGGAGTCTCAGAGGTGGCCCCAGCCCCGGAACTGGCTCCTTGTCACTCTCAGCCCAGCCCAGCATCCCAACCCCTTTGCCAGTTTGGACCCCAGGATGAAGCCAGGTGGCACCAGCCTCTCTCTCGTGGCAGAGTTCGCCCAAAGGGGACATGGGGACTAGGGGGGCCCAGCTGGGGCCTTTATTTCATCTCCTGTGCTTCTGGCCACATCCAGGGGCAGCTTTAAAGAAGGGGAGCTTACGGCCCAGTCCAGGTCGGCTAAAGCGGCTTCACCTCCCCCAGATAACTGACCCCCCCTCTGTGGTGCTGGAGTGCAGAGCTCAGGGGCGATGTTAACAGACGGCAGACACCACTTAACTACTTCTCTTCCCATTTCTCCAGCACGAGGGGTGGGCTTCAAACTGGGGAAGGGAGGGCAGGTAGCAGGAGACTCGGCCCAAGCCTGCTGGAAGGATGGGAGGGGCTGGCAGACCAGGCCGGATGAGGAGGGTGGGCTGAGGACGCACAGGCTGGTCCCAGATCTTGACCTCAAGCCCCAGGAAACCCCCAGCTCAGAAGGGCCCCTCAAAGACACTTGCACGTGTTCAGGAAACAACAGTAACAACGGCGGCAGCGACTCGGACAGGGAGCCTACTCCGCGCAGATGCTGGACTAGGCACTCGCTGCCCCTCCGTGTACCTGCCACACGGACCTGCTCTCACTGTGTCAGAGGCATCCAGGCTTGGGACAGGGCACCCCGCCTACCAGTTGTACTTTCTTTAAAAAACAGGCTTTGTGTCTCACGCGTGCCTTATACTTCCGTCAAATTTCCTTGTTTTCTCTTTCCTGCTAGGATTCCTAAGCCAATACACTAGGGAGATAGCAGAGACTGGCTAATAGCATGATGATCTACTGAAGTCCACACTGTACGCCGACTCCCTTAGTGTTTACCCCGTGTCCACTGCTTGTCCCAGGGCCCCACAGGACGCCGCCCAGCACGTGTGGCCGCCTTGTCCGCCTAGGCTCCACTCCCGGCAGGGGCTCCTCTGACTCTCCGTGGCTTTGTGGCCTTGACACACCTGCTGATGCTGGTCAGGTGTACAGCAGGGCGCCCCTCGTCTGGTGCTCTTCTCATGACTCACTGGGGTGATGGTTTGGGGGCAGATTCCACAGGTAAAGCACCACTGTCGTCACATTGGATCTGCCTGACTTGTTCCTGCTGTTGACCTTGGCCCCCAGGCTAAGGCAGTGCTCCTCAGGCTTCCCCGCGGTGAAGCTGCCCCTCCCCACCTTCCACACTGTGCTCTGTAGCAGGCGGCCACCATCACTTCTGACACTTACAGGTGGGGGAGGGGTGGGGGCTTCGGCTTCACCTCCATGATAAGGAAGCATCTACACAAGTTATTTGAATTTCTTCTGAAACAGGAGAGTTTCCCAGCATTTATTTACTCTTTCATTGAATCGTTTATTTATATCAGTATGGTGTCATGAATTTATTTTATACATTGAAACCTAGTCTATTTTGATTTTTGCAAAGCATTTGATTCTAGCATCCCTCGTTTTGGGGAGTAGTTGGTTAAAAGTGGATGATTGGCTTCCCTGAACCCTATGTCTAACGGATGGTAGTGTGTCTACCCTGGAGCACTAACAGGTTGGGAAACCACGGGCTGCACCCGGTTTTTAAATGAAACAGAAACTGCCGAGGATGCAACATTTTGAAGGGATCCCTCCCTACCTGCGAGGAAATGGTGATCCTGGTTTGTGATGCACGTGTGAATTCAGTGGGTGGTGAGCAGGGATGCAAACCGTTCGCAGTCTACAGTACAGGGCGAGCGCACCGCCGACGCGGCCCTGTCCGTGGTGCTGCTCTGCGTTGGAAACCGGCCTCGCCAGTGCGGGCAGAAAGCACCAGCGGCTGCCGCCTGAAGGCAGCGCAGCGACTGAGAGTGACAGCAGCAGGATTCAATCCTGGCTCTCGTGTCTGTTACAGTGGAGTGAAATGAACAAGAGGAAGTTTGGTAGAAATAGGGCCAAGGAACAGGTTTCAATTCAAGAAATTACTGACAGAGACAACAGGCCTGATCTCTCCAACAGCTAGGGTTATTAAAAAAAAAAAAAAAAAAAGGAACTGTGTTTGGGTAAGAGAGACCTAAGGGTTGCCACACCTGCATGCAGTCGCACAGTTCTGGAAGGGAAACTGGTTTAAACAAAACAGCAAAAATGGACATTTTGGGGGCCAAATAAGAAAGGTGAACAAGCTCTGCATATTAAATGAGACAAGAATTTACTGAAGCAGAAAAATGCTAATCATTTGCTGGGGAAAAATCAGGCTACAAAGCAGTATGCACAGCACGACCTCATGTTCTAGAGAAAATCTACATATAAGCACAGAAACGGCTCCAGAAGTGAGAGACCACGGTGTCACTGTCGGGCCCCCTGGAAGACAGAAATTTTTGCTTGCCCATATTTCCCATTTTTCCAGTGCTTATACACGGCTTCTGCAAGATACAAGAGCCTGCTTTCAACAGAGAGAAATCACAGACCTTCCTGCAGGATGGAGAGAATCCTGGCTTGGCAGAGGTTTCTAAGAACGATCTCTGGGGGCTTTGGTGACCAGAAACTGGATCTGAGCGGGAAGTGGGGTGCACCACCCAGACGGCAGCCCCAGCCTGAACCATCTCCATGTGTGTGCGGGTTGGGGCTGAGCAGGGTCTCCTGGTCCAGCCCCTCCCTGTTATTACTAGGAGGACTGAGTCTCACATTAGCAAATGGCAGCTCCCTGGCCCCTGTTGGGTCACACGGAATGTCTCGGGACTTCAGGGACAGCGGGTATTTGGCCTGGAGAAGGGAAGACGGGTGGACAGGAGTGAGGGGGCCAGGAGTGCTGTTTTCAAATAAGGCTGCCACACAGAAGAGAGACCCGCGTGAGTCCCTGTGCAGATCCTCGGTGGCTAAGTGACAAGCGGGTTTGGCTCTGGAGCCCATGAGGGAGCAGGTGCTGACAAGAGGAGCTGTCCAGCTCGGCAATAAGGTGGTGGGGTGCGGGGGCTCAGGGCTGAGCCTGCGTGGCCTCCTGCCAGAGACTGCCGGAAAGCCCTTCCCACCACGGAGGCTCTTCGGTTCTGGACTCCAGGTTCCAGCCAGAGCCAGTGTCCTGAGAGCGAGGAGCTGGCTCTTCCCAGTGCCAGGGGACTGTGCAAGGAGAAGGACTGCTGCGGCTGCAGGAGGTGCCCTGAGCAAAGCCAGGAGGAGCAGGGGGTGGGCTAGGTCTGCAGAACTGCCAGAGAGATCATCCTGAGGTGGGCTACCTGAGTTCTCAACCTTGACACCTGCCTCATTCCTTCTATCTCCTGCTCCCAGGACCTCCCAGGTTCACACCACACCCTGGTGCCAGGGAGAGAGGATCATCTATTATTTCCCACTTGCAGGTGACAGGGAGACAGGGGCCCGATCTAGCCACACCCTGGTTTCTCTGTGTTCTGCAACGCTAGGCCCCAGCTGTCCCAGGAACAGAACGCCAGCCAGCACTCCTTTTCAGGCCCGTGGCCCCCTGCTTCCCAGGCCCAACCTGAGGCCTTAGGTGGCCTCAGAAACTCACTATTCAGGGCCTCTGTCCCTGGACCACTTCGGCGTTCACAGTAGCACGAGGGTGGGGATGCCCACCTGCCGGGGGGGCCTTGCCACCCCCCAGACACAGTCACCAGTCACTGTGCCCACGGCACCAGAGGACACTGATATGGGTTCTTGCTGATGTCCCCCGGCTCACCCCACCAGCAGCAGCCGTCCTCAGATTTCAGGCCCGGCAACAACAGAACTGCTTTCCCCAGACAGACGCAGGCCCACCCCAGGAAACGCCGCTCAGCTGCCACTCCCCACGGTTGGCTCTGGCAGGCCTGCCGCAGCCAACACAACCAGCTGCCAAGCCAAGCTTGCCCGTGGGAGTCTGAGTGGGGGGGGTGTCACCAAGCAGGCGCAAGCGCCCAGAATCCTGGGTGGCCACAAGCAGACACATACTTCTGTATTCTAGGCAGGGGGTGCAGTCAAGGATCCAGGCTGCAGAGCGCCCCTGGTTGTCCTCCCCACCCCTTGGCTAGGCCCAGCCAGGCGCACACCTACCACCGCGACCTGGAATTTCGTGCACACAGACCTCTGCGTCTTAGTCACCACAGGGTGGTAAGGGGCGGGGGTCCGGAGGCCAAGTTCTGATAGCTCCTTTCCCCAAACATCGAGTGGGTTGCAGACCGGTCAGAGGGACCGGCACGGGGTCACGGAAGATGGGCAGAGAGGCCACCCTGGGCGTGACGGGAGACGCTCACAGCACCGGCGCTAATGGTGGAAAGTGAGGGTCCGATAGGGCAGGGGGAGCTCGCTGTCCTCAGCTCCGGCGCAGGCAGGAGGTGGCAGTCCTCCCGGGGAGAAGCCACCGCCTCGGGCAGGAGAAAAGGCAAGGAAGCTGGGGGAGGGGAGGAGGAGGGGGTTCGGTGGCCGGTGGGAAAGGAAAGCGGGGTGCGGGGGGGGGGGTCACGGAGGCTCACGGCACGGGGTTCGGGCGCCCGGCGCCGTCCTCTTACCTCCTCGCCCTGGCCGAAGCGCAGGCCGAGCGCCGCGACCCGCTCCACGCGCAGGAAGCCGTCGGGGTCGCGGCCGCACACCTCGAACACCTGGCGCAGGCGGCGCACCGAGCGCAGCAGAGCCGCGGGGGCGCCCGCCCAGCCCGCGCCGCCCGCCATCCGGGTCGGCCCCGCAGTTAGCCCGAGTCCCGCGCCGCCGGCCGCGTCCGCCGCCGCCCGCCCCGCGCCGCCATCACCGCGCGCTCGCCGGGGCCGCCGGCCGCCCGCGTGGGTCTGCGACGCGCAGCCTCCCTCCGCCCGGGGGCGCGGCCGTGTCAGGCGCCGCGCTGCAGCCCCGCCGCTCGGGGCGGGAGGCGGCGGCGGCGGCGGCGGCGGCGGCGGCGGCGCGGAGACTGCAGACAAAAGGAGCTGCGCTGCTCCGAGTGGGGCCGCCACGCGGGCCGGCTGACCCCTCGCGCCCGGAACCGCCGCCGCCTCTGCTGACTCAGTTTCCCCCGGCGAACCGAGCTCGTCTCCTCCTCTGGCAAACCTGGGGGTGGGGGCGTGACAAGTGTCCGGAAACTCTGAGCTGCCAGGAGGCCCCTCCCCTCCCCTGGAGAATACAGTTACGAGGACCGAGCCCCGGACCATCCCCGCCGGAGTCCCACAGCCCCTTATTCGCCCTCAGTCTCCCTGCCCGCAGCCAGCCCATCCTGCACCCGTTGTGGGTACAGAGCACTCACTAGGCCCTAGGCGCTGCATACAGTAGCGTGCTCGATTGTTACAGCCCTGTCCAAGGAAGCCGAAACCCAGAGAGGTTGAACTAGTACCCTAGGCTACACAGCATGTGAGAGGCAGGGTCAGGACTCCTGTCCTGGCTAGATGTGGATGGACCTAGACGCCCTCCTCTTCACCTTCTCTGTGCTGCCTTGGAAAGAACAGTCTCAGGGCCTAGGAACACACAGTCCTCCCTAACAGCAATCTGGGGACAGCTCTGGGCTGGGGAAGGGTGCAGAGAGGAGGAGCAGAGACCCTGGGACAGAGGAGGCAGCCAGAAGACTGGGAGCAGGCAGGAAAAAAAGAAAGCTAGGAACTTCCACTAGGTTTGCCTGTTGCAGTGCCCAGAGACACTCGACAACCATCCTCACCCCTTCCTGGATGCCCAATCTCAGAGCCCAGAACAGAATCTCGGTCCTAAAAAGTGGCAGCAGCCTCTAGGCCTAGACCTTAGCCCCCTCCCGGAAGTGCTCAGCTGAGACTTTGCCGCAGCTGCTCCCGCTGACACTCAGCCCTGCCTAGGGGCCCTACAGGACTTGGCCTGGCTCTCCTTCCCTCCCTCTACCTTGTCACTGGTCAGCATGTCAGACCCTTGGGGCACCAGTTACCACCAACCCCAAAACAGGCTTCCACTGAGCCCACCTTCACTTATGCTTTTTAGCTTAGTTCAGAGGTTTCCTCTGAAGCCTCCCTTGATGGCACCCCATCTTGCTGATTAATCTGAATTCTAGTCCCCTCCTCCAGATACCTATCAAGTTTTACAATTCTCTGGTGGGCTGCCCATCTCCCCAACCATGCTGGGAAGCCCTCCTGGGCATGCTGTGTCTTAATCACCCCATATCCCCTGATCCCCAGCCAGCAGAGGGTCCAGAGGAAGCCCCTGCCTCATCATCTTCAGGAGCCCAGAACAGTGCAGGGAATCCCAGACAGGGATTCCAGGGTAGGCTGGGGCCCGTTCTGTACACAGGTTGTGTGGCCACCCTTCTGGGCCTCAGTTTCCACCTCTGTGGTCTCCTGCTCAAGCCTAGATATATCCGACACAGCAGCCACCCTGTGGCTTCTCCAACAGAGTGCCAGGTTCCCTTTTGTCCAGGTCCCAGCTTTAGGGATGAACTTGGTCTTTAGCTGCCCTTTCCCCCTTGATACTTCAGTTCCTACAGGATCTCTCTTCTGGGAAGAGAGCTCTGTGAGTTTGAGGACAAGCAGCAAGCAGAGGCCTGGGGCACGGGTGGGGTGGGGCGGGGTGGGAGGTTCTAGGACACAGGCAGCAAACACAAGGCCCCTGGGCCGAATCTGGCCCTCCACCTTGTTTTATTCGGCCCGGCACCTTGTTTGTACCTGGAGGCAGCACCGAGCTCTCGCTTCACTGTTAAGGAGTAGTTACATTTACACAGTCCTAAAATCACATTCGGCCCTTTGAAGGCAACTGCGAGGCTGATGTGACCCCGGTGAAAATGAGTCTGACACCCCTTATCTAGGAAGAGCGTGGGCCTCTCTGCGAGCTGTATGCTCCTCAGCAGGAACCCAGCTTCCTCGTCTGTGCAATGGGGATAATAGTCGTAGCTCTTGGAGGGGTGACTGAGAGCCATTAGGGCCATTGTGTGCATCACTTCCCCGTGCACCTGTCCTGTGACACATAGGAGGAAGTGGAGGAAGAGAATCAGGGAGAGTCAGGGTGGGGGGGTGAGAGGCTGCTGCTGGAGATCCAGTCTGCCAGCTGGTGGGAGCTGGGGCCGCTGCCTGTCCAGGGACCCTAATATTCATTCCTGCCATGTCAGCTCCTGCCCATTTTCTCCCACCCCAGAGGCTCAACCCAGCAAGGAGAAGGGCAGGGGCTGGGGATACGTCCATTGTGAGCTGAGGAACTGGCTCTCAAATCCTCCAAAATGGGGCCCCCCTGAGCCGAGAGACCTCACCCCCTGCCTTAGCGCCTCAGTGGGCAGAGGTGGGTGCCTCCAATGTGAGCGTGAGCAAATGCTAGTATAGCCCAGCCCAAAGTCCACACCAGACTTGTGTTCTCCCAAAAGACAGGCTCACATCAAGTTCAAAAGCCCCTTCCTCGGGGAAGGCCCGCCTGGCCCCTGGCTGTCCTGCTGGGTTCTTTTCTGCATTTTGTCTCTGCTGAGTGACGTTTTGATGGCTGCTATCTCTCCACGGGACACGGGCTGGGGCCCGGTTCTGCCACTCACCACTGTGCTGTGGGGGCCAGCAGGGCATATGTAGCACAGGCACTCTCTCCCAGGTATCACCTTTTTGCTGAGTGCTTGGGGGTCGGAGAAAAGAGAGCAGCCACAGGCCCTGTCCTCGCCGAGCTGACAGCTGGGCAGCCATGACATAATGCGATCTGTGCTGAGGACCCAGGCTCTGGGAGCCCAGGGGGCCTGCTCGGTGCTTAGAAGGACCTTTGAGAGGTGCATCTGCAGCCCCAGCATGTGCGGGCTGGGGACCTTGGGGCGGAAGGGGTAGTGTCAAGGAGGCAGGAGGCCCCTGGAGGGGAGAGGGGAGCAAGAAGACCGGGAGCCTCCCTCTTCTCCTCTTCCCCTGGGTGATCTCCAACAGCCACAGCACCTCGGTTGCACCACCGAGGGAGGGAGCAGCTGGGGTCCTGCTCACTCTCCAGGGAGAGACCCGACTGGGGTCAGGTCAACCTCCTGCTGAGGACCCGCCTGCTGGCTTAGGCCTCTCCTGTTTCCAGTCTCCCCTCTTGTCTGGGAGCCTCCCAGCTCCCTCCGGCCTTCCGGCCTCCGCTTGGGTCACCTTCTCACTCCTACCCCCTCCCTCATCCCACTTCCTCTGGCCAACTCCTGTCCTTCCAGATTCCTTGAAAGTGACACCTCCTGCAGGAAGCCTTCCCTGACCACACTCTCTGACTGCCTCTCCCCTGTGCTCTGGTAGCATTCTGTGCAGAGAGGCAACAAGTACCAACGGTGGAGCCACCCTACAGACGGGGATAAGGCTGCTGTGAGGGCCAGGTGAGTAGGTACCTGTAAACGCCAGAACAGTGCCACAAGCCATAAGTCCCACCTGTTGCGACTGTCCTGACCTCTCTGCCCTCTGCTATGTATCAAGAGCACCTGGGACGTGGGTATGAAAAGTCACACAGTGATCAGAAGGTCCCAGACAGCAGGGACAGCTCTGTCATTTTTCCTTTGAATCTCTAGCTCCCAGGTCCTAGCATGATGCCCAATACACACAATTAAGGTCTCTAAAGGGATGGATTGAGGGAAGAATGGGCACATACGGTATGGTGGGCTGAAAGACACCACCCCCAAAGGTGCCCATGCATCCACAGGGCCTGTAAATGTCACTTTGTCAGAAAAGGAGTCTTTGCAAACGTGGCAAAGCCAAGGAGCCAGAGATGAGGTCAGCTTGCGTGAGCCAAGTGGGCCCTACATGCCGTTGCACGAATCCTCGTGGGGGGAAGCAGAGGCCAATTTGACACAAATAGAGGAGGTGGCAATGTGGCCCCAGGGGCAGAGGTCAGACAGAGGCAGCCAGGAGCCAGGGCAAACCGGCAGCCACCGAAGCTGGGAGAGGCATGGGAAAGAATCTCTCCTGGAGCCTATGGAGGGGCTGCTGCCCTGCCGAGTCCTTGATTTCAGACCTCTAACCCCTAGAACTGTGAGGGAATGCTTGTTGTTTTAAGCCAGCAAGCGTATGGTTGTTTGTTACAGCAGCCTCAGGAAACCAGCATCTATGGGACACATAGGATGTGGAAGTTATGAAAAATTATTAAGAGTCAGGATTTAGGTGCTGGCTGGTGTGGCCCAGTGGATTGATCACCGGCTTATGAACCAAAAGTTGCGGGTTTGGTTCCCAGTCAGGGCACATGCCTGGTTTGCAGGTCAGGTCCCCAGTTGGGGGTGTGAGAGGCAACGAATCGATGTTTCTTTCCCGCTCTTTTCCCCTCCCTTCCCCTACTCTAAAAATAAGTAAATAAAGTCTTTAAAAAAAGAGTCAGGCTTTGGAATCCCAAGGTCTGCTGCCCATTTTGCCCTATGGCTCTGGAACGTGAATGTCTCTGGGCCTCAGTTTTCCTATCTGTAAAGTGAGGATAGTTGTTCCTACCTTGCAGAGGTCCTACAGGGTTTTCAGGAGCAAATGAATGTAACGAGCCCATGATGTGCCTGGCACGTGTGGCTTTTCCTGTGGCCGCACAGAGAGGTTGAGAGCCAGACTAACCAGGGGAAGCGTGACTGAGTTTCATTTATGGGCCTTGACGCTGTCGGCCATGCTGTCTGGAACTGGGGCAGGATTCACACTTTTCTCCTGCTCACGACCTGCTGTTTTTTCTTTTTAACCATGAATAATTATCGAGAGGAAGAAGTTGGTGTGAACCCACTTGCTTTCTCAGCCACCCTGAAATATACACACTCCGACGCCAGAGCTTGCCGGCAGATGCAGCCAGCGCTGCTGGGGGTGCCCGGGCCCCTGGCAGGGCTGCCCCGTGTCCAGGGTGAGCAGGCTGCCTTGAGACCTTGGCCCTCCTCGCTGGGAGGGGTGCCTGGGAATCCAGAGGTTTCACTCACTGCAGGTGCCCACCCAGAACCTCTTCTGACACTCGGAAGGGAGCAGGGTGAACCAATGGCTATCGTTCCTTCCAGGATTCCCAGAATGCCGACACTTTACTTAGCTGGGCTCCAGATCCTTTCATCAGATGCAGAAATGGCACCTAAAGGTGGCTTTTGGCCAAGGCACCAGCATTTACCTTCAGGTTCCTTAGGTCTCACCTGCCTGAAGTCCCCTCAGATCCAGACCTTCCCATGCTTCCAGCCTTCTCTGCCGCCCCCTGCTGCCGAAAAGAAAAACTCCTCCGTCTTCAGCACAGGCAGTAAGCAGGCAGGCGCTTTGCACTCAGATCCCTGCTCTGCCCTCTGCTCTGTAGGACGCAGCAGAAGAGTAACTCGGCCTACCACACTCTGTGACACACTTATTGAGCAGTTACTGTCTCCTAGGGGTTGTGTGTGGCATGGGCCTCGGTCCCAAGACAATGACTGCACACGGAATTGATCAATGAAATGCCCGGCTCGCTTTGCACACGCAGTTCCCTCTGCCTGGAATGCCTTCTCTTCCTCCCCACCCCCCGCATAGCCATTCTTCAAATGCCACCTCCTCCAAGAAGCCTTCCCGAGTGAGCTGCCCTCACCCTCTGCTCTTATAGAACTCCACGTGAACTCTCCTGGAGTATTTTCATGATGCTCAGTGATGCCTTCCCTATCCGCTGCCCCCTCCCTTGGACAAATTACATGTCACCTCTGCGCCTCATATTTCTCACCTTAAAACAGAGGTAATTACAGTGCCACCGCGTGGGGCTGCTGGGGACAGCAGAGCTAAGTTGTGAAAGCCCTGGGTGCAGTGGCTGGCAGGCCGTGGGCCTCAGTATGGGGGAGCTAGCGGCGAGAGGCCAGAGGAAGGGTCTCCCCTGCGGAAGGAGGAAGTGGAGACACAGCTGCCAAGAGCCGAAGGTCTTCCTTGCGGCTGGGTCGCTGGGTCGCCCAGGAATATGGGACTCAAAAGGTAAAATCTGTTCTAGGAAGGTGAGTGTGCACACGACTCCCGAGTGCATGTGTGCGAAGACACGCTGGAGTTGGCTGCCAAGAGAGAGCAGGGCCCCGATGGTGATGTCAGCTCCCTTCTGGGTCTGGGACGACCCCTTAGCACTGAGGTCCGAGGAACAGAGACAGGGAGGCTCTGGCGTCTCAGCTTTACAGTCACTCATTTCTCTCGGCCAGATTCCCACACACATTATTTCTGGGTAGAAGGCGTGGATGTTCCGAAGGCTAGTGACCCGGAAAGAAGAGGCCGGGGGCACCAGCGAGCCCGTCACACCACACTCCTGACCGGCACCATGTCTTAGTTAAATAAATCTTTGCTAGTCTGGAAGATGAAAATGGCATTTTACCGTTGGGGTTTGGCATCCTTTTTGTGTACTCATGAGCGTGATGGCCTTCCCCGTCAGGTAGTAATTAGCAATTGGTACAGTAACTCCTTTCCGTGGGGTTTATGTCTTTTGCTTAGTTCTTCTTCTGCTTGGGTCTTTTCTTAAAATTGATTTTTATGAGCTCTTTGTAATTAGAACAATTTTCCTGTTTGTTGAGCTTTAAATTCTAGGTGTATTATTTTTTTGGACATGGGACATTTTAATCTGTTAAGGTAGTCAACCCGTAATCTTGAGGATTTTGCCCTCTGCTTTAGGTTAACAAGTCCTTCCCTATTATGGGAGACAGTCACATTCTTGGCCAACATTTCCAGCCCCCCTCCTCCTGGGCAGCGGAGGACAGCTCTTCATGGCCCTTGTGATTCCATGCAGCGCTGTGACAAGCTCTGGCCCTGACACGACAGGAGCGACTGAACATCCGGCCTCAGGCCTTCAATGGTGAGTGTCAGGCCTCCAATCTGGTGGCCACTGGCCACAAGTAACTATTTACATTTAGTTCAAATTTACTTTAAGCCACATTCTAAGTGTCCGGAGCCCCACGTGGCTGTGGCGATGATACTGGACAGTGCGGGTGTGAACAGTGTTGGCGTCGCAGGACTGCACAGCCCTGTCCCGTCTCTGCCCTTCTGCCCAACGGCCCGTCCCTCTGGGGGCCTGACAGCAGAGCTGCTGTGGCTTTTAAACCACTAAAATTTGAGGGTCACCGGTGCTTTTATAAAAACCATAGCATAATCTGGACCTTTTTGCCTATCCCATCCTACTCATCCAGTCTAATTACCGTTATCACAGTTTTATGAAATATTAAAACATTTCTATGTTGCAAGCATAAGAAGAGTTTCCAACTAGGCTCCTAATTGTTTTTTCTTTCTTAGCTCTTTCTTGTTTATTCTATAAAGCGAACCCTTGGACTGTTTAGTTGGGACACACTGTCGCCCAGCAGGGATCTTGACAGGAAGCGGGATTTCACTTGGGGAGAACTAGCTCTACGAGACTCAGCCTCTGCAGGCAGAGTGGTCTGCCTCCATTCACACGGCTCACATGTCCATCTGCCGTCAGGCGCTGTGCGGATGGACTCGGCAGCACCAGCAGGAAAATAAAGACAACACGGGGACTTTCCTACAGCAAAAGTAATTCCTTTTTAAAGAGCTGTACTTTATCTAGTGATCCCTTCCCTTTCCTACTCCTGTGGGGTTGAAATGGCCTTTTAAATATATCTTGTTTTTTAAATACACAAGGTGACAAAATACATCTTGGAAATATTAGTGATATGTGAAAACTCCGAGTCTGGATGAGAGTTTTCCATAGGTCTTTACATACATCACCTCCAACTTGGGAGGGGTTTGCACAGGGTTGCGACTGTGAATAGGGCCTTTCCTCTACTGACCCGATTTATCGAGTTCCCAACAACACAGCCTTGTCATGCAGCAGCCAGGCACCCAGCGCCTTGCACGGGGCATGGCGCCTGTATCTGGAGGCCCAGGATGTGACCAGGAAGACAGGAACAGCTGATGATCACAACACTGTAATAAGTGGCTCTCAGGCCAGGCTGTCCCCTGCCTCAGTGACCTCCTAATACAATCTGGACTCCACAACCCTATTTTCAACAGCTCAAAGGGTGGACATCTCTCCCTCAGGCAAAATTGTGGGCCATCTTCCAAGACCCAAATCCTCAGCCACCAATCCTGCCAGTCACTCTGCAATTGTCTGAGGACCCAGTCTACACCTTGGGACACTGTGGTCATTGGTTATGTGGCTGTTTTCTTCACTAAACTATGAGCTCAGAGGGCGGAGGCCAAGCTTCTTCCTTTTCTTGTTTCTGCAATGCCTGGAATAGGGCTTGGTGCAATTATCACCGCTGAAAAGGTTTCTTTGAGCAAGCAAGTTAATCAGCTGAGATGACACCTGGCAACATTTCTTCCCTTAAACCTATTTATGTAAGTTGGGCTCCCTGAACTTCTGACCAGGAAAGGGCTGTGTGAAGATTCCAGTGTGACTTCCCTATTTTATATTGAGGAAGTGGCCCCATGGGGGGTGGTGGTTTCTGAACCCCGTAACCCCACAGGTTTAATTCTCTTTAGCAAGATGAGCCTGATTCTCAGCACGTGGTGAAGGATGAGGAAGCACTCCGGGGCTGCAGGCGTCCCCTGGAGGCCGTGCAGGTTCGGCCCCAGGCCACTGTGGACCTGGCACAGACACACCGAGGTTAACTGTTTCTTCAGGTCTCCCCTTCCTGACGAAGGCTTCCCATGTCACAGAAAAGTTGTATCAAATAAATTTTTATTCCTTTCCTGTTAATGTCAGCTCAATTTCCAGATCCAGTCCAGAACCCTAAGAGGCTAAAGGAAAACTTTTTCTTCCCCTACATATTACACCAAAATTACTTATTTTACCTTTAGTTGAGAGAGGTCCTGGAAATAGAAACCCATAGTGGGGTGGGAGGGTGGGCAAGGGGGAGGAGAATCTTAGAAAAAGGGAAATGGCCCTAATGTTTCAAAAGATCAATGAGGAGTGGGGGAAGTGAGAACACAGAGCTGGTTGTGTGTGAAGAAATTAAATAACTCCCCACATCTTACAGCAGATTGAATTTACACTTTACTTAAAAAAGGGGGGCAGGGGGGAGTACATACACAGGGAAGGCAGTGGGGTGGGGCGACAATGATCTGAAGCAGGTTTCTACAATTTCCCTACAGGGACAGGTTTTGTCTGCTGGGCAGTACTTCTCTGCTGGCGTACAGCTGCTTACATATTCACAAGGGTGTGGACGAGGGGACGAACTGCCCGAGTTCAGGTCTGAGAGAAAGGAGAGGAAGTATTCATATACAATGTAAGTTTACAATACACAGCATTTTCTTTAAATGATGTAATGCAGTCGCGGGAAAAAAAGTTAACAATACTAACACGAGAATAATCAAATTTTTGTTTGTTATCCATGTACAGCAACTAACTGCTTTACAAAAAAGCAAAATAATACAATATATCATCACATGTATTTACAGTGTAGTAAATATACTTTTCTGTCAAATTTTACACAAACTATGTACAGGTGAATACACTGCATTAGAAAACTGTCTGGCTGACACTGGAGTGAATTTCCGTGTGAGTCCGTGCATGACACCGAGTACGACATGCCTCATTATGCCGGGGGTGAGGGAACAGTGTGAAAACAAAACCCAAAGGCCCCAAAACGACTTGGAAAAGCCCTAAAGCCCACCAAGCAGGAAGGGCCGCTGGCTCCCGCTGTGCGCCCCTTCCGTGGGCGGGCGTGGACCGCGCATGGGGGCCCGCCGAGCTGGCGCCTGAGGACTGACGGCGCTTGGGGGCCAGGCGGCCGAGGAAAGAGCGCTCGCCACTCTCCCCGAGGCTACTGCACCGCGTTCTCCGCGCTGGCCAACGAGGGCACGCCCCTGGGGCTGGAGCGGGGACAAAATAGGTACATTATGCACAACACATATGTGAGGAGTTAATGTTTTCCTCTTTAAAAAGTCAGGGGGTCAAAAACAAACACCGACAATAAGAAAAATAATAAAAAGTCTGGGGAAACATCCACGAACCAAAAACACATGACCTATGATGTTTTTTATAAAACATCTGACTTTGCAAAATGGGCAACGTGCTCTGAACGTCAGAATTTCTTGTGCAGATTACAGGTACGAGGCCTAAAAAGGCATCTCCTTTCTCAGGGGAAGCATCCTGGTGCGAGATCTGTTGTTCATTTTAGTTATTTGGAAAACTAGATTTCCCTCAAAAGTCAGAAGCTCTTGTTACACAAGGAAAAGCTTAAACTTGGTAAGTTTTCCAGTCCCAGGATGCACGGGTTAAAAGCACTTCTGCGGTTCGGAGAAGTCTGTTTTGATTTGTGCAACGCTGACCATTTCATGAGGCGCTTCAAGTGAATTCCTTCCATTCACACACTAGAGGGAAATAATGAACACATTTAAGAAATATCATACCTCAGAAAACTTGTTTACGGAAAAGTATTTTTAACAGTAAACCTTTGGAGTTTATCTGTTTTGATGGGAGAAGCAAAACAGCATAACAATACCTGCTGTCATATGCACCGAATCGTCCCCAAATGAGGAAAACGGGGGAGCCGAATGACGGAAGGCTCACATTTGCTTCTGTTCCAGGAGCCCAGGCGGTGAGACCCACCCCGGATGCACTGGGTGTGCGAGGACCCGGGCCTGGACAGCAGCAGCTCGGCGTCCTTGGCTTTGGGCTGTTAAGGACCTACTTCTAAACTCAGTTCTAGTCTTAGCTTCTTTATGGTCTTAGTTGCTCTGTTATTATAAACATTCTATTCTAATGCAGCCTCTACAATAGTTAAAAACAGAAGTTTAGTTGATTGCACCTGTCTTCAATATTTTCCAATAATTCTATGCCAAAATACCTACTAGTACTAAGGTTTTTTTTCCTTTTATTTTGGCAAATGGTTCTTTTCCCAGGACTGTAAACAAATTAAAAAGATTAAATTCTTGTTATTTCTGAATATCAAAAGCAATTTTATTTACATGAACATATTACATTGTTACTGTGTGGATAAATGTGAAATGTGTTATATTATTAAAATCAGAACACTTACATGTACCATTATTCATTGATTTAGCTGTGGAATTTAATTTACTGAAATCCACTGATGAAACAGCACTACTGGAAACTGCCCCCTCCCCTGGGTTTCTCTCCCCTCCTGAAGCCATTACATCTTAAAATATGAAGGGAACCTGGAACTAGGGGGTAATATCTTCTTGTAATAAATATGTTTTAGTCCTAAATGATAACATCCCGGAGAAACCGGATCTGCGTCACCATGGAAACCCTGGGCCATTACGATCCACCCCACGCGGTGCAGCACCTCTGACGGTTCTCTGCTGTCACACCAGGCTGACTGGTCTGTTCACAGTGATCAAAAGCGATTCTGCCACACACAAGCCAAATGTTTTGCTCAAGAGATTCCTGATTCTTTTGGAGGGACGGGGGAGGAATACAAGACATTTAAACTATATTTTATCAAAGGCATTTTTGTTAATATACATCATATTCCACTTCTGGGGAAATTATTAAACAAAATAAAAGCAATAGCTAATCGAAAAGTCATGTACCATTCTGCTTTGCTATGGAGCTAATGCAAACGTTTGTGAAAGTTACCTCGTAGGAACACTTTTCAACACTTTGTTCACTGGCTACCCTGCTCAGAATTACTTAGTAAAGAGGAGGAGGAGGAAACATGTAATTACTATACTTAGTATAGTTTTGGCTTACTAAAGCAAAAAACAACAACTTTTAGCATATTTAAAGATTAAAAGATAATCAGCTGGAAAGAAAATAAACTAGTTCGAATGACTGAGTTTGGATCAGGCCTCAGAACCCTTTGCTTTAAAATTCAGTAACGTTAAGTAAGACATATGTGGTCACACTTATTTTCCTGTGATCACTGACAATCCTGAAGTGTTAGTATTTCTTAAGAACCCGCTACAAAACAGTGATCCCTCCACCCCTCAGAGTACCTCACCGGTGGCTTTACTGTGTGAAGTCACTAAGGCTTGACCTCTATGGTTCCTTCAGTTTTGGAAGGTAAAAAAAAGTCCACAGCTAAAAGTCAGATTAAATATATTGGGGTTATCATAATGTTCCTCACATAAACTTCTACCTTGAAAAGTGTGTAAATAAGGCTAACACTTTGCTTTGCAGGATGGAGGGGAAACGGAAGGCAGAGCTCTGTGCAAATGGCTGTCACAGCTGGCCAGCAGGAGCAATAAGAACCCATCCCCTCTCACACTGGGATGTTTTCAGTTCAAGTGTCCTGACCTCCCACTTTCTTTGAAGTCGTTCGAACACTTGCTTAAACAGACACACCAAAAGTAGGAGGAAAGAAGTTAAAGAAAAAGCAGCATTAAATTTAGGCAATGCTTCCAAGAATGGGTCACCCGGCAACATGGCAGACGGACAGACGGGCTCTTTACAAACGTGAGGTGCAGCATCACAGCACGGTGGTGACGGGTCACTGGTGAAGAGCCCGCGGAAGTTAAGTCTCCTTGAAAAAGGAAAGAAAGAAGGCTTCACACGATCTTCTTAATGCTATTACGTTTGAAACTGCCAGTGCTTCTTTGCTTCTGCACCTGGCTTGCGGATCCATGGCGAGTCCGTCCACTATTACAGTGCCCAGTGGTTGGGGAGAGCTCCACGTTCTCCTTGTCAATTCCTGGGGAGAAGCAGAGCAGCCAGTTACTCCCTCTCTGGTGTTAAGCTCCAGGACTGGATCCCATGACTTGCATACAAGCCACAGCCTGGGAGAACTGTTTTTGCATATTTCATTTTAATAGTTAACTGCTAGAATGTTTACAAAAACTTGCCACACAGAAAACCTCACATTTTGGTAAGCGAATTTTGCTTTCACAGCAGAAAAACAGCAAAAGAAAAAAAAAACCCCAACATGAGAAGTTGCTAGAGGCAGGCAGGTTTGAGCTGAATGAAAGGCTGGCAGCAGCCAGGGAAGACGACAACTCCCTCCAAATCATACAGAAGCTTTTAGCGGAGGTCAGCTTCTAGCCACATATCTTCACTGGGGTTCCTACACAGAATACACATACTCTCTAGCTGAAATTCGTCATTTCAAAAGAAAAGGCAGATGCTTTTTATTTTTTTAATCATGGTGCCTGTCCCAAAGGAACTCAAATATTTACAGAGAAAATAATATACGATCACAAAGGTCACACTGTAGAATCTTTGCTTTGACCTTCTCCTTTCAACCATGGTAAGTCATCACGTTCCGCACCTCACACAGATGCCATTCATTCCTCTTGGGGAGGCGATTAAACCTCCAAGCCGGGGCCCTGCAATGAACTCTACAAATAACCCAAGTCGTGCCTTCACGACAGTAACCAGAAACGACACACTGTTTACCCCTCAGATGAGCAAAGTTTACAATTCAGAAGGGTCCCAGAGGAAGTGGTGACTGGAGGGCATGAGGGTAGCTTCTTGGGCTGCTGGTAACGATCCATTCCTTGATGCTGGATTTTAAAGTGTATTTACTTCTTAAAAGGTCATTAGATTGTAAACTTATGATCTTTGCACTTTCCTATCTGTTCCACTTCAATAAAACTTACCAAAATAATTACACACTGATTACACCCACCTTTAGCATAGCTACTGGTGGGAAAGCAAATAGCTGGAGAGCATGTTAGCAGTTTGTACCAAAATGTCAAGTACTGATTGATATTTACTGATAAGAGATAACCATAATTCAGGAGTAGGGGGGAAAGGCTGGGAAAACATTTGCTAAAATATGCTATTTCCGGTAATTTTTTACTTTATTCTTATCTATACCGTTTGAACTTTAAAATAAACATTAAATTTGAGAACGAAAAAATTTTCATTTCTGGATGAAAAATAGCATTTAGATCTAAAACTTTATTTACTTCCTTTATGTTCTAGAAAATGTACACAGACCCATCCATCATTGGTTGGCTCACGAAATTAGAAATAGACTTGCAATGACTGCCTGCTAGGAGCCACACAGCCCTCACCTGAACTCAGCCTTGAACTCGAGTCAGAGCATAAGGCATCCACCTGCAGGCGCAGGGCTGACTTATGGGCTCGGGGAAGGTCTGCTGTCTCGATCTTTCCGAAGGAACCTGAGCACGTGTTGGTGCTGGTTTATGAGTTACAAGTGTCAGCAACAAGCATAATCTTTAAATCTGTTCTGTTCTAATCTAATCACATGTGTGACAAGATGAACAGAAGGAAACACACCACAGAAGTTCACAGAACTTTTCTCTGGGTAACAGGATTCTGGATGATTTTTCATTCCTTTCTGCATATTAATTTGCATTTTCTCCAGACCTATTTAAAAAAGAAACATCAAAACTGAAAGCAGGCTGCTGCTCATCATCTCCTGAAAGGGCCTTGAACTTGTTTGTGTGGGGTCTTTTAATTGCCTTGCCTATCGCTACAGGATCAAGTTCAATCGTATTTATTCCCACCTCTCATGTCCTTCCTGATGCATTCTTCTGTCTCCTGCCTGAACTACTTCCTCCTTTTTCCTTCCTGATTTTCTGTGGCATTCAGGTTTATTACAATCTGATTATACTATCACAACGTGTATACATCTTATTTCCTCTACTAGAATAACTGCACCAGAAGGGAAAAGATCGTTTAGAAAGATTCATTTTTGTTTTGCTCAAGACCTGGTTGATGTCCTTTTCGGTAACACTGGTTGAACTGAGTATATCATATTAAAATGTGATGGCTGTAATTCAGAGCCAAAAAGCATGCAACCCCTGATCTCCAGGGGTTAGTGCCATATTTTTAGTGAAAGACAATTTTTTAAAAAGCTTCCTCTATCTGAAGATTCTCTATCATGAGCTTATCAGTGCATTTGACCTTCCATTTCCTAAATTTGCATGTGGCCTACAAATTCAAGCCTACAAGTGCTCTTCTGGGGTCATTTTAATAGGAAATAAGATTCTGGTAAAAGTAGGACTTTTAAAAGATAAGGGTCTGAAATGATTAGGAGATGGTCATCGGGAGAGAAACAATGTGGACCACCACTAGGAGGGCCTGTGGCCCTCTGCCAGCAACCTGCTGCCCTGGGTTCCCTTGTGTGGCCACCTTTGGTACAGCCTTGCCACTGCTAGCACTGGGTGGACAGCAGTCATCACACTGCAAGGTGGCAATGCTTCTATCTGAGAACAATGGCTTGCTCAATGACATTAAGAATTAAGATGATACATATTGTAGTTACAGCCCTGGCTGGGTAGCTAAGTTGGTTAGAGCGTTGTCCTGATATACCAAGGTTGCAGGTTCAATTCCCAGTCACAGCACATACAAGAATCAACCAACGAATGCATCAATGAGTGGAACAACAGATCTCTCTCTCTCTCCTAAAAATCAATCAATAAATGTATTTTTTAAAAATTGTAGTTACAGAAATTCAGTCACTAGGGTGAAGGTGAGTTCAAAGAAATATTAACAATATTTAATTTTGTTTTGTTAAGTAAATAACCTGCATATGGCTAAATAAAAAAATTAAAAGCCTTATTTTTTGTTAAATTTTAAGGGTAAAAAAAAGGCCACAAAATTTTATACATGCCATGACCTCAACTATATAAACAAAAGCAACTGGAAAGCGATGCACCAAAATGTTAATAGCGATTGTCTTAAGAGTGGTGGAATTATGCATGTTTTTCTTCTATTTTTCTCCTAATGAGCATGTGTTCCTTTTAATTAAAAATGTTACAGTATCACTGACTTAGCCCTGTCATTCATAATGCAAAAAAAAAAAACTTCAATGCTACGCTGAGACCCTACTTCTACATTCAAATTCAATTTTCATCTCAATTCAGTTCTTGTTTCCGTGTGTTTTCTCCCTACTTGGTGACCCAACTCGACGAGTCACACACAGGTGAATGTGGCGTGGCTGTGATTCCTAAGCCCAACTTCACAGTGAAAACGTTTTTACATTAAGGACCGAAGCTGACATACGAAAACTGGGGGTCATTTTAAAGAAAACAATAAAGTAAAACATGTACTATACTTATACCAAAATATTGCACCTTGAAAAAGCAAAGGTGTGTGGAACAGAATGATGGTAGAAAGATTAGAGTGTCGGATTATGGCATTTAGGGTTCTAAGCATCAGTCTTACTTTGGAGAATTTGGGCAGCGGCCTTCTTTTTTACCCTCTAAAATCAAATCTAGAAACCTCTCTAGAAGTTGGTGAAGGATCTGGTCTCAGCCTTCCATAGGAAAACTTCTCAATGATCAGCTAGACCGCTCAAACGGAGACAGACCACCCCGCAGTGGCACCTGCTCTGCTTCAAACCAGTGAGCGCGCCTGGGGCTGCACTTCTCACCGAAGCTTCTCTGAGGCTTTGCGTTCTGGTCTCTGGTGCCCGTGTACTGGCTCTCCCTTCTGACCCTCAGTGGGCACAAAAGCAAAAATCCATGAGGTGGCAGAAACCCAGGGGTCACCACCCGAAGGCAATGAAGGTAAAAACGTATGTGGTTCTGAGTTGCTAGTGTGAATCCCCCCGAGAATGCTGTGGTCACACACACAACCAGTGACGAACATGCAGGGCAGAGGGAGCTGGGGCCTCCTGACAGCGGTGTATTGACAGGCCCAGAGCTTCGATGAATTGTGGTGGTTATAGATAGAGAAAATACTAGTAAAAGGTGTTTTTGGAAAAAATTTAGTGAATTGAGTAAATGGAAAAATAGGTATTAGATTACATTTCAGTTGTTTAAGTTACATGTCCATTTCCTCTGCTCGAACATGAGTTCCTTGAAGGCAGGTATCAGGGTTTGTTTATTTTGACAACCAGGGATATAGATCCAGCCTGACAGATAATTAAAACAATTTTCTAAAATTCCTTTATTTTTTAAAATACCAAAATGGTTTCCCAAACTAGGATCTTACATTTTCATGACATAATAAAAAGGACTGGATCCCTTTCAGCTCTTGAGAAGCTGCGGAAAATGGGCTAGGTGACTTGCGAGAAGTTATAGAGCAGAAACGAAAGCCCAGCAACAACCCAAAGCCCCCACCACCCGCGCAGCAGCAGCAGCAGCAGCAGCAGCAGCAGCAGCAGCAGCAGCAGCAGCAGCAGGTGATGACTCGGCACTGCCTGCCTTACTATGCATTTAATGGGCGGACCTGCTCAGGAAGTCTTATTACACATGTGAGAAGGCGGACGTGCCAAAAGACCCAGGCCTAAGTCTTGATTGAGTCACAACTCTTATCTGGCTCTGGTTCCTAAAGCGGCCACTACAGTGCAGTAGGTTGCCTACTTCAGAGGGTCTTTAGAAGGATCAGATACTCTACGTGAAGACTTTGCACAAAGATAACATAATGACTGTATAAATGAAGATTCCCCTAATACCTGAAATAAAAAAGACCAAGTGATGTACTGAAAGGAGTTTTGCAACAAATCCATAGAACTTAAATTTTATACTAGAATTTGTAAAATTACTGAAGCGAATGTGAATAAGCACAAAAACTAATAAATCTTCTTAGAGGAAAAGGCAACTATAGCTCCTTATACTTTAGTAAACACATTCATGGACACATGGTAAATATATATTTAGAAATATTTGTATTTTGAGCTAGAAGTACAAAATAGTAACTATAATAATTAAAAAAATTAATGGACTTATATCAACACTTCTTTTTCTATGAAGTCTGATCTTTCCACATAATAATTATAAAAGAGCAAAAAAAAGAAAAGGTATCTTTTATAAAGCAGACATGAGTGTATCACATTTTTCCCTCTTAGTACTTAGAGCTAAGTAAGGATCATATTCCTTTTTAAAAAGAACATGGGTGATAGAGTGGATAGCCAGCTTTAATTTGTAAGGAAATACTGGGGTTAGTTTCATATTTGGGGACAACGCTTCCTCAAACGACATAGCCTGCCTTCTCTGTTAACTCTCCCCAGGGTTTCCTGTTAACCTGCCCATGTCAGTCTAGGGCTGGTGCTGCATCTGCAGTGCCTGGGGGAGGTGGGGCAGCTCCTGATCCTCGGTCTCCTTGTGGAAGACAGGGCACAGGGTCCTGCAGAGTCAGGAAGCACCCAGACCTTAGAGCAGTGCCTTCAGAGCTCCGCAGGTGCTAAGCCAGACTGCTTCCAGGGACTGCTGAATGAAGATGTCTCATGCTGTGTGCCCAACGAGAGCAAGGAAAGCAGTGTTTCATGCAGAGGTGATGGAAGTAAAGAGTACCTTGATGAGGCAACAGCTGCATGAAAACTGCTGATTTAGAGCAAGGCAGAGAAGCTTCACAGACACAGAATGGAAGAAAAAACAAAAGTGAGTGATGTCCGTTAAGATTTTTAAAAACGGCAAAATATGATTAGACACTGGACAATTATTATGTTCCCTGGTTTTCAAAAGGAATCTGGTTTAATTATTGAACTTTGACCATTAATTTCCTAAATATTACATTCTGTAAATAAATGGCAGAATTTACAATTCTATAGATAACTGTTTTCACCACCATTATTACAATTAAGAATTTTAGTTTAAATCAAGAATTAAACTTAAAAACAAGAATAAAAAAATTGGCAGAAATTACATCAAGCAATTCTTCAGTTTACAATGATTTCTCTCCCTTACATATAAGGCAGTAACAAGGAAAAAGAAGAAAACTAAATCAAGGACACACCAAATAAAGGTCTGCGGACACCAAAAGCAGTTCCCTAAAGATCTCTGAAATGACTGGAATGTTTTCAGTAGTCTCAAAGTAAGTTTCTTCCACGAGTGAGGCATTTCAACCGTGGGGAACATGTTAGGAGTGCTGCTGACGCAGAGCTAAGCCTGCAGGCCCATCGCAGAGATGTCGCAGGCTGCGCTCCAGACCGCCCCAATGAGGCAAGCTGCAGTCACTCTGCTGGTGGAGCAGCTTGCCCTCAGTTTGTAAAAAATGCGACACCTGTGCGGTGCGACAGAGTGGAGCGCAGCGCACCGACGTGCCTGCACATCCAGAGACACGGTCCTGATGAGCCAACCCTGTGCACACAGCCATCAGCGCTGCTGGTTTGGGAATGTGTGTGCCTCCCAGCTGCCCCAAGTGGCTTCCCAGGAGGGAGGCCTGCCCTACAGACGCAAAGGGAGTAGATAATGGATAGGCCTGGACATAGCCCCAAAATAAAGAGAAAGAAGTGATTTAAGACAAAACTCAACTCAATGGGTCTTTGCTCAGAAAGAAAAAAAAAGGTTCATTTACTAAGAGTAAAACAAGCTGATCAAAAAAACTAAAGATTTTTTCTAGTAAAAATATTTAAAATAGATTACAGGCTTTAAAGAAATTATATATCTCTCATTTTTTTGAGGTAAAAAAATATATTATAAAATTGTTGCCATAATTATTACTGGATTCTTCCAAATACCCCTCTGAACTATCAAAATTCTTTATAATACAAGGTACAGCATGACAAGTACCACCAAACACCTCAGAATAGTTACTTGTGTGCACTCCACAGTTGTTACCGTTCTAAAGTCTGCTGGCTGACTGAGGGCGGGTGTCACGTCCTGCTGGCCCCCCATTCCCCGGGTCTAACACGGTCCCTCGTGTGTAGTAAACGATGCATGTCTACAGCATTAACATCTGGAATTTTGGTTATCTCCTACAGAGTACTGTGGTATGGCTCTTGTACCTAAAAATCAAGTAACTGTGTGAACGCAGAGTCTGTGATCAGAAGGAAATAACTCCAGCTCCAAACTCAATACTGAGATCCAAAGGAAAAAACTGTCAAATCTTTGGTGACCTGGGTCTTCCCTCTTTCAATGTCCCAGGGTACCTAGTACACACCTACAAAATAGGTGTTCAAATGTTTATTGAATTAAATTACAGTGTGGAAAATATTAGGAGAACTTGGTAAATTATAAATTAAACTTCACACGGGAAGTGGAGCTATTTAATTTCTTTTTAATGAGTACTAAGTTCACACAGTTCCATCTCGATTTTTGTTCCTGGTACACTTGCTGTTAAAGATGCAGGGACAACGCACTTGAAATGGCTTTTAGAAAAGGTTTTATTGCTCCTCATCTCAAAGAACCACTAAAGAAAGTCCCATATATAGCATTTTTAGATAGATTGGTTTTATTTTCTAGTTTTAACCTTGGTTCTTCAATTCATATCCATCCAGCTCAGCTATAGTGGTTCTAATAATGGATCCCAATGTCCAATTTGAAATATTTTTATGTATCACAGAGTAAATGTTATGTCTTCTCTTCAGGATTATTTTAGAGGCATTTGGGAAAATCTGAAGAGGCAAAGTTTTATGTTCATTCAGTTAAAAGGACCACATGTAACACAAATTTACAGGCACTAAACTCTGAATACTGTCCATCGGCTCCACTAAGGCCAAGTTCAATTTCTACTAGGGAGGGAGTCAGAAGACAGTCCTTGATGCATTTTCAAATACGGATTTATAAAATAGTCCTCTTTGTAGTAAGGGGAGAGACAAGAGGGCTACACTAATTTGTCAAGAAGAATGCATTTTCAGAGACAACTACTTTATGTAAGTGACTATCACTTCCTCAGAAGCTGGTGACTGATGAATTACCACCCACATTTTAATTTAAGTTAGGGTTAATGCTTGGGACATTGGGGTGGGATTTCATGAATTTCCTACCTAGCTGATGTGACAGCAGACAATGCTGGCAACCACAAGAAAACACTGCTTAGTCTTAGTGGCTGATCCCACTAAGCACCACAGATCTAGAAAGCAGACTTCCACTGACATGGATAGTTTGCAGCAAAAAGCTGAGCTGTGTGCAGATCAGCAACTTTAGCTTTTTCACCCAGGGCAACAGAGCGTTCACCTGGTGTTGAGCAGTGTGATAACAACCCATACAGAGCTTTCTAAAACATTTCTGCTGGGACTTGGCTGAGGGGAGTGGAGATAGAAAAATATTCTGGTTTCTATACAGCTAAACAGCAAAGTTGAAATGCTGGACTGAGTTAGGAATCTGGCTAAGATTCATCATTTCTTTTATCCCATTGATATCAGCAAACTCAGCTCCATAAATTGAGGAGCTAAGGATATATGATTACATGGAGCTAAAGATATAAAGCAATATATCTAATTACAAACAAAGTATTAACTCTTATAAGAGGTATTCCATGAGAGCAAATGATAAAAACACAATGATTTGGTATAGAGATAAATCAGGATCCTTTCACGGAGATGATGAGCCCACAACTTAGAGATGAAAACGGGTTTTGTGGGAGAATAAAGGCACTATTGAAAAGATACACCTTTTTTCCAAAAACATGTTGGAAAATAACCTGGCAAACCAGAAGACACACAATTTACAATTTAGAGACTGGAAATGCTGAATGCTAGGGCATAGCAGACTATTCAAACGGTCATCTTCGGAGAACCACTGGAGGTGAAACAGCTGGTTTAAAATGTAACCAAAACCATACACGCTATTCTCCCATTTTTATAAACAATTCTAAATAAGAGCTTGTAGAATAGGCTATTTTTTTAAAAAAAGAGCAAATGACATGGCTCACGCCCCATCAATACAGAACACGAGCAGTTAATCCACCACCAGAGAGCCTGCGCTGGTGCCTTTGTTCTCAGTCTGATTATTTATTGTTTCCATTAGTGCGCAAAGACAGGCAGAAATCCCCCTAGTAAATAATCTGGGTAGAAAAAAAGAGTTAAATAAAAACCTAACTAATCATTTTGACAGATTTAACACCACTTTAGTAGCCAAAGAGGCAAAAGTGTGCTCAAAATGAACAAACTTTAAAACCAAGAGAACCAATATTAGGCAGTCTATGAATTTTCTCATTGTTGTCATTATAAATGACAAATAACTCAGAAAACAGCTCTACAGAAGAGGAGGAGTGGTGGACTTAATGTTAAGGTAGATGGAAGTAATGAGACAGCAATAAACAGACAAACAAAAGAAAAAAAGAAGGAAGGGCAGAAGATGATACACACATCAGAGCTACAGAAAGCAATGAATGCAGTGGAGAGAATGCTAGCCTTGGTTCTAGCTAAGAACTGTATGAGAAAGCAAGTAATTTAGCTCTTCTAAACCTCAACCTCCCCACTGCACACAGCATTGTGAGCCTAGAACAAAATAACCCCTGTGGTCCCCGCAGCTCCAAAATGCTGAGGTTTTAAAGTGGGGGAGCAGTGGTGAGGGAAATAACTCAGAGGCTACAGTATCTAGAAGAAAGTTGATTTTAAGCTCTGCCCTCGCTTTAGCAGCTGAAACACCACTAATGAAGCAAGAGCAGTGGCATATCCGAGGGCGGTGCTCTCAAACCCTAGTGTGCCTAAGAGCCACTGGGGCGCTAATGAAACCACAGACTGCTGGCTGGGACTCCAGCCCTTGTACTTCTACCAAGCTCCCAAATGCTGCTGCTGCTGCTGCTGATGCTGCTGATCGAGGACCACACCTGGAGAAACACTGTCCTAGGGAGAAAGTGACAGAGGGCAAATGAATTCAGTTATTGGGGGTGGGGGGTGGGGGGGGGGAGGAAGTTGGCCAGCATTCTTTTATTTCTTGCTAGTGGTAGGCTGGGGGTGCAGGTGTTGGCGTACAGCCTGATGAGGCACAGTGAGAAGATTGATAAATGCTGGATCAATTAATTTGCTTCTTTTGCTGACCTAACCTTAACAGGAAAATACAGTTATTTAATATAATGGTTTATAATATGAACTGGCTATTTGCTGAGTTCTTCAGAAGCTTCAGATTTATGTATGCTTGAATGTTCATGCAAAACTGGGACTATAACCCCGGGGTTCTTTGATGTTTATGGACCTCAAACATCACAAAATAGTTACAATACATCATTTGACTTTCAACAAGAAAATCCACGCTAACACTTAAAAGAACTATGCATAGTAACTTTCTTTACAAAATGAGGTGCTTTATAAGTAAATTTTTCAAATGATGGAACTTTGAACACAAAACCTAAAAAAAAAAAAACACTTTAGAAAGGTATCTTTCTGAATAGAAAATATGACCATAACAGAAGCTTTCCTTCCTTACCCACTCATCATAACAAACAATGGCATCAGTTTTAGAAGCAGTAGCACCTCCAGGGCTGACCAGAGTTGCACGAAGACATCCCCTCTGGCACGGAAGGAGCCTGGGCCCTGCAGGTGAGCCGTTTTGCCATCTTGTTGACCTCAGCCCCCTGAGCTACTTGCTGTTATTTCTCAGTATAGCTACTTCTTAGCTGCATGTTGAATTGGCATACTTTTCCCACTTGGACCTAAGGGTAACTCCACAGTAAGGAACCTGCTTACGGGCTTAAAGATGTTATTTCCTTGAGATGGTGTTCTTGTCTGGTTGTTTCTTTGCTCCTACCTTTTCAGGTTGGTCTCTAGATCGATGAGTCGTTACTGGCAGCAGGGAAGTGGGGTACCACTACACTTTGTGTATTTTTGGACACAGTAATGCTGTATCAGCGACACAGACACCCTTAGGGCAAGGTTAGTACATCTAGCAAGGGAATTATAATTCTAAATGACAAATAACCTTGGGTTGTTCTTCCTGCCCAAACTCTAACTTATCAACCTTGAACACTATGTATGTGAATACTCTAAACATTTCACTGTCTTATGTATAACTGTTTGAAAGTAGAAAGCTTTATAAAATAATAAAATTCCAGTCAGCTACAAGGAAAAGAAGAAATGTAAAGTAAACCTCATGACCAAAAGGAGCAAAAACTGCTTAAACTGATAACAAGGGAATTCCTAATGTTGGTATATTAATATTATCGTTCAGATTTATATAAAGATGACATTTACTGACCTGGGGAATGCTGGGAAGTTGCAAGTGAGGTCATGGAATTAGAAAGGTTAAGGTTAGCAGTAATACTAAGCTGGCTCTGCACTGCAGGAGGATAAGGAGATGTGGGTGTCAGGAGGGACTCCTCACTGGCTTCTTCATCAATTCCAGGCAAATACGTGTCAATCAAGGCATCAAGAAACTTAACAATAAGCTCAGCATAGTCTGGGATTTGTGTTTGCTGTAACGGAAAATAGGAAATTATTTTAGCTCCATTCTTTTTTCTTAATCCCCTTTGAAGCCAAAAATGATTAATTCAATTTACATTTTGGGCTTAATTTACTATTTTCTCTTCCTTTGTTTTACAGATCATTTAAAAAGGGGGTGGGGTAAAATTTACAGACTACCATGGGACACACAGCTGGGAATTTTATTTGGCTAACACTTTCAGACTCCAGGCGAACCTGCCATTACTGAAGGCCATGCACGGAGGCCGAATTAACCTGGAGACAATATAATGATCAGGAATGACGTCCAGACCACTTTCTAAGAGAGAATGAGGCCCAGCACCACCATGCTGGCTGTGATGGAGAGTTTCACTGCGAAGGGCTCAAAGGGTTACTCGCAACCAAACTATAAAAATCCCTGCACGATACATTTATTTGACTTCAGGTCCATTGTTTTTAATGACAACCTTTACATATCATGAGATATTCAGTGATAACTAAACAACATTCTTAAAATTAGAACAAGGTTCCTAATTCATATTGATTCAGTGCCCTCGTATCTATGCTGCCGCCCTAAGAATGGTGAGGGGGGCTCGGGAGGGGGGAGAAACAGACATCCTGCCTTCAAGGAACCTCAGTCAATCTGGAGATTTGTAATTAAACACACATTATCTGGCACTGTATCAACTAATGTCAATGGAAGAACAAACTGAACAGGAGCAAATGAGGATATATTCAGAAAAGAATCAATCTAATCCAACAAGTTGGGAGGAAAAATGCTTATGTGAGGTAGACTTTTTTTTGCATTATGTAATTTTTTAAAAAAATTGAGATTTAATTGATATATAATATTAATTTCAGGTCATGAGGTAGATTTCAACTACAGGTAATGCTCCTTCCTAATTACAAGATACTTAAGTGTGTGCATCAGGCTCATCCAATACATGAGGGACGGAGGGCAGAAAAGTCTACAGAGGTTTACCGTTCCCTTCTGAAAAGTCCAGCATAAACTGAACTGAGTTGTTTTCTATAAAAACTAATACAGAAACATATTAAAGGTGCTGCCTCTTAGAGTCACGTGGTGGAAATTTCTATAAAAATTACGTATGTGTTTACTGTGAATCATCATTCTGGGTTTAGTAGACTGTGTGTTCTTAAAGCAGGCACACTGATGTGAACAAAAACTTTCCTTTTGTCCAGAAAAATATTTTCTTACCTTTGAAAAGGGTCCTGCAAACCGCCACAAGCCATTAAACCCAAAACCTGCAACAAATCAAATGTTACTCTTATAACAAGCATGAGACTCTTTTAACCTTAACATCATTAACAGAGCTGATGATACAGAAAACCATACCCACACTGAAAACAGAGTTTTAGAACGTGTCCAAGTAGACTAAACTCACTTAATGTCAACTCAGTAAAAACCATATTTTAATTTTAAAAAGAGTTGTCAACCAGTTATTTACTGACCATAGAATTAAGAGTCAGAAAAGAGCACATGGAGAGAGAAGCATAGACAAGAGGACCCCTCAGAAAGAACCCGTCAGGCAGCGTGTGCTGTAACAGCGCGCGTGCTGGCAAGGGCGCCGACCACCCTCCTCCCGAAACATTTATTTACTCTGCAGGTAAGACGTCTGGTACTGTGGTGGGGACTCTTCATGGTATACCACACTCTGCACAATTCCATGAATTGGATTTAATAAATTTGGATCTTGGCACAACGACAATAAGGTGTTGATCTTAGAGTCCAACAAATTGTGCCTAAAAAAATAAGAATCAACAGAGGAACATTTTAAAGGAAAATGAAATGAAACCACACACTGAAAAACATATACATTCCCCAGAACCATGTGATAAAGGTGAAGGGAGAGGAGTGCGTTTTACTTGCTAGTGCTTCCAAATTTTCTACGGTGAATTTGTGTGTTTCCTTTATTGCTATTGTTATTTTTAGTCTTCAGGGAAAATATGGCAATAGCAACCAACTTGCACTGTCATATGACCATGCTTAACCCCACTGCAGAGGGTGACCGTTTGCTCAAGACAAGGCTGGCTTCTGCCGGCCACTTAGCATGCTTTAGGACATTTCTTTCTCCTGACTGTTGGTATGTACCCAGAAAGTTAAACTAAATTTAAATATTAACTTGTATTTAATAAATGTTGAATTAGATCAAATAAGGCAAGCAAAATTAGTTTGGAGGAGGTGGAATATATGATCTAATTCAAACTTAAGAGGAAATTTACTATTTTTAAGCAGGCTACCATCCATTAAAATGAGCCAACCAAGAGCCAACTATTTAAAATTCTAAAAATTTCAAATGAGTTTTAATAAAAATAAAAGAATAATGATACCATATAGAAGACTAAATCAGGAATAGAATTTCCCTAGATTCTTTGAGAATACTTTGAAACTAATATGATTTTCACCCTTAAGAGAGAATAAAATTCATCTCCCAAAGAGGTCAATTTTGTTTTCACTTAGCTGTGGATAAATACAAAAACACTACGAAAAAAGAAACCAAAATAGGCAGCTGATTAAAAGATGGAAATTTAATGGTTCGCTCCTGAGTGAGGAAATGAACAATACTTATCATGAAGAACCACTTCAGAAAATCAACAGAATAAGAAAATGCTTTTCCTAACGTGTCTTATGCCAAAACTAGTCTCGGCCCCCAGTAAACCACCGTCTCTAAACTGAAACCACTGCCGCAGTCTTAGGTCCCCTTTTCCACAATCAGTGAACACGGCCGGGTGGTGCTTTTCCTAAGCTTCTATGAAACATCTGACTTCAAGACCGACACAACAATTAGACACGGAAGGAGATACTTACACAACAGGAAAAACTCTGGGGAAAACAACACTGGCTTCTGCTAAATATTCATAAAGAATTCGTTGGTCAAACTCATCCGTGGTGTATTTTACCAGTGTAGCCTGCCGAGATGAGAAAGTCAACACAAAACATTTCATTTTGTGGCTGAATTGTTATTTGTTTTGAGAAGCAGAAGACAGCCTTCCTTTCATGTTTTAGTATTTAAGGACTTCCTAACAGGAGATTGAACAAAAACTTGGGGGAAGAAAAACCCTCAAAAAGCAAAAAAACCCTTACCAGAACAGTAAGAAGAAGTGCTTGGATCTTTGGATCAGTAAGTACTTCTTCATCCAAGAGAACATTCGATTCTGACACGGAGACTTTCCGTAAATGTGGGTGCTGCTGTGCTGAGGAAATCCTTTGAGTTTCTGCAGTAAGATGTAGATTAACATGATCAGCTGCGTTAATAAAAAAATATACACTAGATACCACTTCACCTAATGCATTTTAATGTTGCTTCTAAAATTCAATAGCTTTTTAGTTGACACTTAAAATATCAACATAAACATCATGCAGTTACTACTCACCTATACAAAAGTTTAGAAGGTGAACAAATCACCTTCTAAATAAATCACAATCAGAACAAATCACGTCAGTCCCCATCTGTTGACCAGCTGTTTATGATGCTATATATCATATACATGATTACTTTTTATACTGATTGCAGGATAATGGTCTTTTTAAGAACTATATAGCTTATCTTTGAAAAAAGAGTAAATGTTTCTATATTTCAACCTAAAGATTCTAAGAAACAGCTGGAATGCAAACATGGCTTTAATATGCTCTTCCACTTGATCTGCAATGATCTAGATTAATTATTAACTTTGTTTCTCACCCATTTCATAATCAGTTTCTGCTACTCTCCTCATTTTGGGGGGTGTTGTGATCCCTGATTCCATTTCTTGCCTTTTAGGAGCCTTTGTGTCTGATATCAAGTGATCAAAACTTTTCCTTGTTCCTATAAACAAAAGTTACAGAATATGGAAGTTCATTAACCACAGTGTCTGTGATTAGGAATACACTAAAAAGAAAATGTTTAGACACAAAGTGTTTAAGTTTTCACTTAAAAGACCCCAAAGAAAGCTCATACATATCCCCGGGGCAGGGTTGTTTTCCTTTATTCTCCATATTCTCAAGGAATTTGGCTCCTTAGCTTCCTGTTTCAGGACACGCTGTACCGTATTGGTCCAAACGAACCTGAGATCACATTCACTGCACTGGAGGTACACTGAAAGCCGCAACAGTCCAGTATTTGATAATAAATAAATAAATATGAGGCATGTACTGTTCGTTAGCAAAGATATGCCTGAACAGCCTTTTTTTCAATTTAAGAAATACTGCTGATGCCAAGAATTAGATATTAATAGGTGAAGAACTTCAAAGTTTTATTTTAATTCAGCAAGTTTTAAAATAAATCTGCATACCCAAAAGTACTAAATAATGGATACCCTGCAAGATGCTTCAAAAATAGTAAATAGTACCACTGTTCACTTGCCTTTGAGTTTCTCCAATCATGCGTTACACTAATGTTAACTAGCTTTCTCTTATAAAATGTAGAACTGCCGGAACTGGATTACTGCACTTGGAAGCTGCAGCCAGTCCTGCCCATTCCACTCCAGAAATCCATCCCAAACCTGGTCCCTCTTTCCCATTCTCCCACTGCTCTGCCTTGGCACAGACCTACACCGTCTTTCTGTTTGGATTGCTATATCCACCTCTGAACTGAAATGGCCCCCTTGCCAAAAATCTCTTCCTATTTCTCCACACTGAAGCCAAAAAACTTTCCTAAAAAATAAATTTGGCAACGTCCCTTGCCCTACTTACAGATCCCTGCTGAACACATGATTAGGCTAAATCTCTTAACATGGCATATAGTCTCTCACAATTTAGTTCCAATCCTTCTCTAGCCTCATTTGCTACCCAACTGTCTTTTCTGACTTTTCTTTATTCATATTATTCCTCTTCTCTTGAATGCATTCCTTTCCTGTCTTCTGTCTGTCTACCTGGCAAGAATGTATTAAAATCTTCAAGACCCAGTTCAAATGCTACCAGCCTTCTACAGTTTTTCCTAATTTCCCCAGATCTTCAGGTTCCCCTCATCAAGACCTAGTGCTTTCAAGGTTCCTGGGGATGTTGTTATCAGCCGATTATAAGTCTCAGGCACCAAACCACGAGCTCTTCAGAGCCGAGGCTGTAACTTTTTCACTGAGCACGTGGGTTGAGTGAAATCAATATTGCATTTTCTCTGAAATTAGTTTTCATTTACAACATCCTTGGCATGAAATTCAAGAATTACAAAACAAATTAACTAGGAAACTCCTAGATTATTTATGGTCTTGTGTAACAGAAAGGAGCTCAAACAAAAGCCAACAGTCTTTATGTGACTAGTAACAGTAATTAACACTTGCAGTTTTAATTTCTTTTATGGTTTACTGGCCCGTTATTTCACACTTCACTGCTTGTTTGCTGATTTCCTTAGAGCACAGATTTTCCCCAATACCTAAAGATTCTTAAAATATACTTGCATGGATAACTGAAACCCACTGAGATATCCTCAGTGTTGGTACTGAAATATGGATTCGAATGTATTTCAGTAACACCGAAAACTTTAGGCAAAGCTATGCAAGAGCCCCTCTACATGTCCTCTGTGGTGAGGGGGAATCCGTGAGCTCTCTCGTTATTTACGTTAGCTGCTGAAAAGGGAAAGGGGCTTACAGCATGTTAGATGTGCTTCTCATTGACAAATGTTGATGTGAGTGAGCAATCTTAACTGTCAAGAACTTTACACAGTAACTGAAAATCTTACCTTTTTTGTCTTTTTAAGAAAGGATGGCAAATAAGGATTATTATAGCTTCATGCCATAGTGATATATTCTGTTCTCAGATGATAGTTTTAGGAACTATATTGTTAAAAGCCCTGCTTGTGAGTGCAGCCAGACGCTTCCCTTCTTGTGAGTAGCTAATGTCTCTCCTACGCCCACTTCCCTGCTGCCTGGCCAGGGCAGAACACAACAAGGACAGCTACAGAATTTAGTTTAAGAATCAGAAAGAAAACTGTTTTAAGATCTCATTCTCACTCCTCTATCTTAACTGATATGGCTTAACTGATCTATCAAACTCTCTTACAAGTGGCACCAAAAAGTTTGCTATATCAAAACCAGGAAATTTTGATAATCTTGAACAGCTTCAAATAATTCTCCAAGAGTAAAAGTATCCGAGCATTTAAAAAAATAATTCTGAAAAAATTCAACATAATTTAGAGGCACTAACCAAGCAACTTCTTCGTGTTGGCCTGGGAAGGCTGCCCCATGTCCAAGCTCATGGATTTCCTCGCCCGGGGACTGGTCTGGCCCACAGTTGGGTATGTGGCTGCAAGGTACCCTTCAGAACCTTTGGGAGAGGACCATGGCTGATTCTCCTTCAGTGTCCTGAGAGATTTAAGCAATTGAGAAGAATTAATCAACACGGTGAGGAACACAACCACTGGGGGCCCCTCCCAACTGGCTGTCCCGTGACAGCCATCACTTAATTTTAAAATTGTGAATTAAAGGGCTTTAGGGTACAAACTCAAGGTATCTCCAGAAAGTATCCACTTTTTTGCCATGGTATCTTATACATATTAGGTACTCACTAAATGCTCAATAAAACTACTACACTGATTTTTTAAATCAGGGAAAATCAAGTCTAAATAGATGACTGTACTCTTAGTTCAAAAAGCAAGAAAACTGACCTAAATTTATACTTTGACAGGAGATCACATACAAACTCACTTTCTCCTTTCTAAAATAAAAGGACATTATCTCATAGGAATGTCTGAAGAATAAAACCATTGAGGCCCTGGCCAGGTAGCTCAGTTGGTTAGAGTGTCAATCTGATATGTCAAAGTTGTGGTTTTGATTCCTGGTCAGGGCACATGAAGAATCAACCAATGAATGCATAAATAACTGGAACAAGAAACTGATGTTTCTTTCTCTCAAATCAATTTTAAAAAAAAAGACTATCAAAAACCAAGTATGCCTGGAAAATTGTTGCATACCTTTTAAAATTTTAATTGGAATTTATTAGGGGCTTTTAGTCAAAAAGTGAGATAGTGATAAGCTGACTGACATAAGCTCTACAAATATCACATTACTTTCCTATGTTCAACACTACCTAAAAGTTACTTTTATTTAATTGAAAATATAGAAAAATCCCCAGATGACATTTTCATGTAATTTCTGTTATAGAGAAAAATATACTACCTTAACACCATATATACCAGTAGACATAATTTTATTATCTTATCATCTAAATCTGTGTTATAAAAATTTGTAAATAACTTTAATGTGATATAAGTAAATATAACAAATGTGTTGCTATGCATATTTGTTTTATGAACCTATATAGCTTAGTTTATCATTAAGCATGTAATGTTGCTATATTTCATGATAGTTTTTTCCTAGGCCCCATCCTGTCACCTAATACTTTGAAGATCATCTCTTTTCATTATTCAGCTGGTCTGTGCTTACAAGGAGCAAACTAATGTTAACATGAGACTAGGAGGAGGATTCTCCTATTACTAACCCACATAAAATATTGTAAATTTATAAAATGAGTTTTGATTTACACACTCTTCCTGGATTATCTCTATATTCCCTTCTGGAGTTTTCGGCTGCACACCTCCACTAGCATATAAAACCGAAACCTGATTATAATTATGTAATTGTGGAGAAGTCCATTTACCTATAGCCAGGGTCGCCATGATGAATGGGATATGTATCCATAGGAACATTTTCCATTGAAATATCAGTAAGAAGAAGAGACTTTCTATGTTTTAGGCTACAACGACTTCGAACCTCCTCAGACACTGTGAGTAAAGCTAAGAGGAAAAAGAAGGCAGATTAGAAATGTTCATATCAGTTGACTTAAAACAGGACACACTTCTTACAAGTCCCTGAGAAGGGTAATAGCTGTTCACCTGAGAGAGTGTAAGGTCTCAGGATACAAAACACTGAGGACAGACTTACAGTCTGCTTTGCATGACTGGCTGCACATAAAACACAAAATATACAAAGAAACTTCATAGGCATCTATATTTCCAGTCCTCTGGTATACATTTGATTGCAACACAAAAATTAGGCAGAGCAGGTACTATGAGGTCCATTTCTTAGATAAGGAAAAATACTGAGATGTTAAATGATTTGCCCAAGGTCAAATGATTCAAACAAAAAAGCTGCCACAAACTGAAGTCTGCTAAATTGGGAACCATCACTTTCCATCAAATGACTACGCCCAAGAACTGTATTATGCATAAGTGTGAAGTATTTCTGAGTAGAGAAATCGGGGGAGAGAAAATAAGGAAGGTTTCATGGAATGGTGGGGATTAGCAAACTTTCCAGGTAAGTAACAAACAGAATCAGGAAAGACTATTAAAGAGGAAGAAAGGAACTTCTAGGAAATGGCAAATATATTACCTTCAAATAGCCTCTCCATTTGGAGAGGAACTAAAACATGAGGCCTGTTAAATTTAGAGAAAGAAGACAGAATCAGAAGGGCTGTGTAAGGGCCCAGGGCGCTGGGCCAAAGAATTAAGATTTTATGACAGACAATAGGGGCGGAATAATGTCTTGAATCAAAAGTGACAAAGGGAACACGCTTAGGATTTTAATGCAAATTCTTTTATACAGAAAAATGTTTTGGCAAAACTTTCAAAATTTTAAATAATTTTTTTTAGATTTATTCACTTATTTTTAGAGAGGGAGGAAAGGGGGGCAGGCAGACAGGGAAAGATCAATCAGTTGCCTCTCACAGGCCCCCAGATGGAGACCTGGGCTGCAACCCAGCCACGTGCCCTGACTGGGAATCCAACCAGTGATCCTTTGGTTCATGAGCCAGCACTCAATCAATCCACTGAACCCCACCATCCAGGGCTAAAACTTTCAAAATTTAATTACCACCACAGGACTGGACTGTGAATTCTTCACCCTGCTAAGCAACCAGCTAAAGGACCCACAGGTGTTTGTATCTTTTTGTAGGTCCTTTATATCGGTGTGGTAAGATTAACTTTGTCTATTTTGTGTTTTTACCTGCTAAATAAGCCACGCTCTGTGTATTCACCTCAAATTTGTCACAATTTCTATGTTTGTTAACCAGAGTTAGTAGCGTATGCAAAATTCTGACTGTTCTGGCAACAATGGCAGGTGAAGGATGTCTGTACCCTACAAAAAATAAAAACAAGAAGTTACTTCATTCTCTCAACAAGTATTTGCTGAGTTTGTGTTCTGTGACTAGAAATCCTGCAAGAAAAGGAAGTAGAAGGGTTAACGCCTGCCTTTCAAGAATAGCCATTTGGGAAGGCAAAACATACATCCGTGAGTAGTCAGTTAATTATACACAGGATTAAATACCAAGTCGCGTAGAATCGATTAGTATTTCTTGGACCTCTAAGGCACCTCAGGGAGATGAAAATTAGGAAAGATGATGGTGTTTTAGATATTCCATTCCCTGAAGCAGCAGAGGTTTTCAAAAAAATCTATGAAGCTCACTTTAAGATACCTTTAAACAGGATTCTATGATTAAAAATTGTATTTTTTTTTAACTTAAAAAATCCCAATGACATAGAAAGTGTATGTTCTCAGAGCTCAACGAATAGGGTTGATAAAAGGGTAAAGCCTGATTTTCAGACAGCATTTAATCACTAACACTATTCCATTTTAAAATAGGGGCTTGAACACTGAAAATATCTGGTATTCTTTTGGAAATACAGAATAAGCAAGCACTTGACCAGCCCCACTGCAGTTCCTCTTCTTGGTACCCTGTGGTAAGTGTAGTATCTTCTGAGTAATCCCTATTCAGTTTAAAGATTTTAACTGTCAATATTGTTTGTAGTGGTGAAATCAAACACAGGGTGGGGCAAAAGTAGGTTCGAAGTTGTTCATATGGAAAACAGTGCAGTAATTAATCCATAATAGTATAAGAATACACTGTTTCGTGTACTCACAGCTATAAATCTACTTTTGCCCCACCATGTATATATATATTTATAGTGGTGGGTGTATGTATTATATTAGGTCAAAACTGACTGAGGGAACCTCCATGATCCTTCTCCCAAGCCTAAAACCATTTAAATTGATATAAAACTATGGACTCAAGTTCTACCTTGAGTCTCTATTGCGGCCAAATCCAATGCTGCTTAAGACCACTGGTCTGTGCCAGCTTCTTATTCCAGGCCTTTCTTCTCACTGCTGCTGCCTCTGACTCACCACTGCATGCTGTTCCTATTAACTGCCCCCTCTGGCCATGATTATCCTCTGTCAATAAACTAGAGCTAACGTGCAGTGCAGCTGGCAGTGGGGAGCAAAGCCGGATTAGGGGGTGAATGAGCTGGCTCTGAGGAACAGCTAGAGATCACATCCATAACCAAGACAGAAATTTGGAGGGGTGAGGGTGGAGTACCAAAAAGGTGATGCAATAATGAGACTGATTAATAATAAATAAGAAACAAGTTGAAGAAAATCTGTGACCAAATCACTAAGATAACATTTTCTAATATGTTACTCAAATAATATTTATTTGCAGTCTGCCTTATTTTGATAATCAAAAAGATATATTAGTGATAACTAATATGTAGCTATAAGGTTTAGCACTTAGGAATTTTATAAAAATTAACTCTTGCTTTTTAAAAGAAATCTGATATTTGATGTGGAAATTAGGCTCTATTAAAATATATATTAAACAAAACATAATTCAATAAAGCAGATAAAATTTGCTTTCACAGTAAGACACATGAGCCAAATTATTTCCATTTATTTCAAGCAATTATTTTAAGTACTTCTGGATTCTTGAAACCATTTCATAAAAATATTCTGACACAAGCCCCCTACCTTTTAAGAGGTGCCCAACCAGGGCAAAGTTAAAGTTCGAGTTGAAATTGAGTCCAACAAAATGATCCATTTGCTTGCAGTGCCATTCCAGAGGGTTCCGGATCGCCATAAACACCTCCTCCGGGCTCTGTTAAAGACAGGCATGAGAGAGTCGGTGGTTCACACAGGGACCTTCCTTAAAGGGCCCCTTCCTGCTTCAACAGCTATGACAAGATGAGTAATCCTTCAAGTTGAGAGAAATCATTTTCAGATGACTACTGAAAACCACAGAACAAGTACCTTGAAGAATATTCAAGGTACTTACTACAAATTAGTTAGTGTAAGACAGGCAATCATATACATAACAAGATGATGAAAGATGAAATGCAAAATAAATGACTGTCAATTTACATCCTGGTGACTTTTTAAAAATTATAATTATTTTTGCTTCAACAAGACCACCACTGTGTGGTCTTTGTGTGTACCTGGTGTTCTGTGTACATGGTGACAAAAAATCCATGGGGATGAAGAAAGGTCATATTTATTGATTGCCTACAGTATTCAATAATGTCAGATGCATCATTATATCAAAACCTTAAAGCAATCCTATGTAGTAAGGTTATTAGTGCCCTTTTACAGATTTATGCATTCTTCATTCTTTTACTTATCAAAGACTTATTATTGTGTGGGATGTGCCACACACTTATTACTGGTTTTGATGTGCCAGGCATAGCTCTAGGTTTTGCAGGTAACTAAACATCTGAAAAGTGCTCACCCTGGTGGACTTTACATTCTAGTGTGGGAAAATCAGGAAACTGAAACTCCAAAATCTTATGCGACTTTCCTAGGATAATTAAGGTTTTAATAGTGTTTCCTAAAGTGTGGTTCCAGAAATATCTGCTTTAAAGTCACTGAGGTGACTGTTTAAAGGTGGAAAGCACTGGGTCCCATCTCTGAATCATGAGAGGTGATTAAGCCCCAGAAATTTGCCTTTTTTTTTTTAAAGAACCCCATTGATTTCCTTACACATAAAGATTTTTGAAAGCAAACCACCAAAGGTGTTCAGGGTCATGCTCATATCTGTCTAGACTTCCATCTCAAACAAACGAAAGCAGGAGTAATATATGTAGGGAGATGTTTAGAGCAGCACTGAACATACATATCATCTCACATATTTACCACCACACTCCCCCCCCCTTTTTGGTGAGAACATTTAAGTTTTACTCTCAGCAAATTTCAATTACGTAACACTGTTAGAAACTCCAGGCACCTTGTTATACATTACTCTCATATCTCATGCATCTTACATCCTGATAACCCTTAACAAGCTTATTAATAACTGATTCCTAGTCTCCTGGGGCACTGGAGTCAATGTTAGCTCCTGCTACTGGGCTGTTCTGGCAATGAAAATGCCAAAGCAGGTATTTCTAAGAGACAAACACTTCATTTGCAAATATTCTTAACATACGAATAGCCGATAGCCAGCTACCACCACCCCCACTTGTCCTAAGACCACCCCAGAACAGAGCAATGAGAATTAGGAGACAGAGGCTATAGTCCCACATCAGATGTACCAACATGGACAAACTACTTAACTTCTTTGCCCTTTTCTGTTCTGTGTAATGGAGGATTGACTGATAATCCTGAAGGTACCTGCTACCTCTAAAGTTGTGTTTCCACACTCAGAGCTCCAGCTACTGAGGGTCTCACACTATATCTGGTAGAGTGAACAAATAACGTTTAAGACCAGGTATACTTAAAACCATGCTCCTGTCCTCTTTCTTGCTTCTTTGTATCCATAACTCTGCTAATTTCACTTCAAGCAATTCTCTTGTTATACACATAGCCATTTAAAAACAACTCCTCTTTTCTCCTAGACTCTTCCCATTTTTCTCTGAAGACAAAAGGAACATAATTTCTTACTGTTAGACTTCCTCCTGTATATTCTATAAACCAAAATCCAACCTCAGTCAAGGCTGATAAATGTTAAGAGGGTATATTATGGTATGTTTTAAAGTGGGATTATCAAAACAAAAATACTAGTACAATTAAGTACCTAAAAGTTCTCTTTAGATTATCCAATCTCCTGATTCTTATCTTCTAATTACACCTAGTTTTTAATTAGGTGCCATTTTCAAGAAAAATAAACTTATTTTTATGTATTTATTCAATTTTAGAGAGAGGGGAGGGAAGAGGGAGAAAGAGAGGGAGAGAAATATTGACTGGTTGTCTCTTGTACATGCCCCAACTGGGGACTGAACCCGCAAACCAGGCATGTGCCCTAACTGGGAACTGAATTGATGACCTTTTGTTTTGTGGAATGATGCCCAACCAACTGAGCCACTCTGGTCAGGACAGGATCAGCTTATTTTTATATTATTTCTTTATACATGAAATGAGAGGTGGAGATGGCTAACCTTTACCTTAGGGTTATAAAAATTAGAAATAATGCATAGGGTCTGGCATGGTAGCTATTCCTACTATTCAGTATTACTTGTCCCTATTCTGTTTACTAGTATTGAGAGAGTACTGTTTTCTGCGCTTTTTATACAGAAAGTATGCAGTTAAGTTTAAATATTTTTAATAAGCTGGTAACAAACTATACTCACAAGTTGCATTACAGAAATGCATATTTAAGTTAGAGACTGCTTCTGATTTTTAAAGGACAATGACGACGATGATGACAACAATGACAATGAAAGGGAGGTTCTAAACGTGCACAGTCTGAGACTCCCAACAGAATGCCTGCTTACCTTGTCATTGAATATCCGGAGACTGTCTAAGGTGTGCAGGTTTTGTTCCAGGAGTGCGGTGCCTGCTGAATACAAGTTGACCTCGTCAAGCTGCAGCACAGCCACAGCTACCCAAAAGAGGGCTTTGTGCAAAGGGGAGTCCTGGCCATGGAGACACATTCAGGTTAGTAACATGAAACACAGAACAGTTGTGTTCAAAATACATTGCAGTATAAAACAAAGCATGTTATCCCCAAATTATGCACTTTTTTTTTAATTTTGGGGAAGGTAAATATGTGGGTAAGCTCTTCATCTATTCTATGTGTGTGACTAGACACTGTTAGCCATGCTGAAAACCTTACTGTCTACCTCCTTTGATTTCTTCCCATACCCTGGTTCCAAATCCAGTCACCAAGTTTTGTTAATTCTTCCAACTAGTCTCTCTTGCATCTGCTTGTGGTTAATTACACTATCCATGCTAACCTTCTTTATTCTAAGTATGGGTCCTTTTTGCCTCCAGTTTCTTCCTATCCCAGCCTACTCCACACTACTGCCAAAACAACTCTCCTAAGTCCTGCTTTTGTCAGGTCACCTGTACGCTTGAAAACCTATGGGCACATTTCCAAACTCCTTCCGAAAGAATGCTGAATGTTAGATTAGTTCCATCTGATCTTCACAGCTGCCCTGTCACGGTTCTCCTGAACAGTTTCTCCCAAACAACTAGAATGGTCCCCATGCCACCTCCCCATGGACCTGGCACTCTCGTCCAGTCCTACTGCCGTGCTACCCCCGCCCCCCCCACGACATCCTCCTGGTCTCTCTTTCATTCAGACTCCACCCTCTCAACTTTCTCATCACTCTTACCAGTATAAGAATCGCTGGCTGCTCTGAATTAAAAATATTTATTTTGGGGAATCCTTAGTTGGCAGTGTGGTATATGAGAAAATACATGCACAGCCTTGGATCAGAATCATGGTTCTTTCTTTTATTAGGTATGTGCCTTTGGGCAAGTTACTTAGCTCTTCTGAGCCTCGCTTTCATTTGCAAGATGAAGATGAGAGAACCATTTTATATAATTTAGGACCAGAGTGCTTGTACAACTCAGTAATAGAAATATACAAGTATTTATTTCTCTGTATTCTCTCTCAAGCCTAGCGTATCTTTGTACTCACGTCACAGAATTCTACCAGTTTAGGACTGAAAGAGAATACCATGCCCTTATCTAGTCTAGTTTACTCATTTTACCAACGTGGACCCGTGATGGCCTGATATGTTAAATGACCTGCTTGAGGTCACACAGTTGAGATGGGCTCCGACCACCCTAAACGGTGACTGCATCGTTTCAGCCCTTTCACGTATTATCTTCACTTAGAACTGAAATTCTTGTGATGATCGGGTATGTTCTACTCAGCTTTACATTTCTCCACAACAATAATCATGAACTAACGTACTATGTGTTTACTTACTTTATTATCTGTGCACTCCACACTCACCCAGAGTGTAAGCTCTATGAGGACAGGGAACTTTATTGGCTTTGTTCAGTGATATATCTCTAGCACTACACAGTACTCAGCACATAGCAGATGCTCTATGAATACTTACTGGATAAAGCAATTAAGAACACAGACCTATTTTTCCTTTAGCACTAATGAGACAAAAACAAACATCTGAGAACATGTTCTCTATACTTATTCTTCCTCTAATGTAAATAGTTCAAGTAACTACTCTAACTGTAGCATTTTCTTTATAACTTCTTCCCAATCTACCTATTTTCTGAACTCTTTGAAAGAAAATAAGATTTAACAGGGGTATCCAAAACAAATGCATTCATCTTCTCTCCAGTCATTACCTTATTAAGGAGCGGCTGTAATTTGGTTAGTGCTATTACTGTGGCCTCTATCAGAACTTGACTGTTGTAAGTATCAGGTCCTTTTAAGCAACTCTCAAGTGCCTTTTAGGGGAAAAAAAATTATTTTACTTTCACTGAAATAAAACATTAACTCCAAAACTGAGTCTCAGAATCAGTTCAGGAACAATTTCTTAATTAATAAATGGCAGTAGTATTTCCAACTCTGTAGTGATCTTGGCATCTAGCTCAATGCACATTTTAGTTTTTATTTTTTTAGTATTTCTATAATATATTCTAATATAGTAAGTCAGGCATTATTATAGTTATTACCAATTAGATAATTTTATGTAACACTAGTTTTACCACATAAAACCTTTGAAAACTGATAAAATAGTAAGAATACTTTCTTAGCAAAAGAGATAATACTTATTTCTTTTTAAGACATCTTTTTTGGAGAAGGTTTTTCACTTCAAAGAATTATAGTGAAGAATCAAAACTCATTGTTTTAAGGTTCAATAAGCAACATACAACACATATTATTAAGTTCCAATTTAGTGTCCTTTAGAAAAATGCAAGATTTGCTTTATAGCCTGAGAACCACAGATACTGAGGAAGAGGGAGAAGGGAGAGGTACCTTGCTGAGAATACGGATAATCTGCTTTATCTGCCCATGAGACACTCGTTTGCTAATGCAGCCGAAGACAACAAGAGCTCTTGGTTGAAGGGATGGATTATATTGAAATGCAAATCTGCAATTAAAGACCCAAAGAGCTTATAAAAATTTTTATGTTTATATATAATAAGTAATTAAATAAAATACTGATCATGCAGTATTATCTATCTTTTCAACAATATACATACTTTTAAACTTACACTGATTTGGGTCATACCTTTGAGCTAGTTCTGTCCACTGGTCCAGCCACTTGCATGTTGGAATATCTCTCATACATGCCTAAAAATAAAGGATACTCTGCATATATTTAGGTACATAAATGTTCTACAGAGACATTCATTTTTAAAATATATCTTCTTGATTATGCTATTACAGTTGTCCCATTTCCCCCCCTTTATTCCCCTCCGCCCCAAACACCCCCTCCACCCACATTCCCCTGCTTTAGTTCATGTCCATGGGTCATACATATAAGTTGTTTGGCTTCTACATTTCCTACACTATTGTTAACCTCCCCTGTCTATTTTCTACCTACCATTTATTCTACTTATTCTCTGTACCTTTTCCCTCACTCTCCTCCTCCCACTCCCCTGTTGATAACCCTCCATGTGATCTCCATTTCTGTGATTCTGTTCCTGTTCTAGTTTGCTTAGTTTTTTTTTAGGTTCAGTTGTTAATAGCTGTGAGTTTGCTGTCATTTTACTGTTCATATTTTTTATCTTCTTTTTTTTAGATAAATCTCTTTAACATTTCATATAATAAGGGCTTGGTGATGATGAACTCCTTTAACTTGACCTTATCTGAGAAGCATTTTATCTGCCCTTCCATTCTAAATGACAGCTTTGCTGGATAGAATAATCTTGGATGTAGGTTCTTGCCTTTCATGACTTCGAATGCTTCTTTCTAGCCCCTTCTTGCCTACAAGGTTTCTTTTGAGAAATCAGCTGACAGTCTCATGGGCACTCCTTTGTAGGCAACTGTCTTCTTTTCTCTTGCTGCTTTTAAGATTCTCTCTTTCTACCCTGGCTGGTGTAGCTCAGTGGATTGAGTGTGGGCTGTGAACCAAAGGGTCACCAGTTCGATTTCCAGTCACAGTACATGCCTGGGTTGCGGGCCAGGTCCCTAGTATGGGGCATGTGAGAGGCAACCACACATTGATATTTCTCCCCTCTTCCCCTCTCTCCAAAAATGAATAAAAAAAACTAAAATAAATAAGATTCTCTCCTCTTTAATCTTTGGTAATATAATTATGATGTGTCTTGGCGTGTTCCTCCTTGGGTCCAAATTCTTTGGGGCTCTGAGTTTCCTAAATTTCCTGAAAGTCTATTTCCTTTGCCAGATTGGGGAAGTTCTCCTTCATTATTTTTTTCAAATAAGTTTTCAATTTCTTGGTCTTCCTCTTCTCCTTCAGGCAACCCTATGATTCAGATGTTGGAACGTTTAAAGATGTCCAGTAAGTTCCTAAGCCTCTCTTCATTTTTTTTGAATTCTTATTTCTTCATTCTGTTTTGGTTGAATGTTTCTTTCTTCCTTCTGTTCCAAACCATTGATTTGAGTCCTGGTTTCCTTCCCACCACTGTTGGTTCCCTATAGATTTGTCTTTAGTTCACATAATGCAACCTTCATTGCTGTCTGGGTCTTTTTTATGCTGTTGAAGTACCCAGTGAGTTCCTGGAACATCCTGATAACCAGTGTTTTGAACTGTGCATCTGATAGGTTGGCTCTCTCTTTGTTGCTTAGTTGTATTTTTCCCAGAGCTTTGATCTGTTCTTTCATTTGGGCCATTTTTTTTTTTGTCTCAGCACACCTGTTATGTAGTAAGGGTCAGAGCGCCTGAGCCTTAGGTGTTCACCAGGGCAGGGCAACCCACGTGATGCACTGTGATGCACTGTGATGCAGTATGGGGGGGAAGGGGTCCGATAGGGAACAGTGCCACTTGCTTAGCACTCTGAGGGCTTTCAGTCATTCCCCTCCCAATCAAATTGGGCCCTTCTGGTGCTGATTTCTGGGTGGGTGGGCTTGTATATGTTCTAGGACCCTGTGGGTCTCTCCAACAAACTCTCCTGTGAGGCTGGGAGTCTCTCCCACTGCCAGCTTAACCCCCACAGGTGTTCTCAATCAGAGGTTTGAGGCTTTATTTCCCCGAGCTGGAACCCTGGGTTGTGTGGTCTGTCTTGCTCCCCAGGTTTTCTTCCCAGTTTATCTGCACACGAATGTGGGACCACCGGTTCGGCAGCTGCCACTTTGCCTTGAGTCCTCTCTCCCTGACTGCCCATCTCTGCCCCTTCTACCAGTATGGATGAATGTTTCTTCTTTAACTTCTTGGTTGTTGGACTTCCGTACAGTTAGATTTTCTGGCAGTTCTGCTTGTTTTTTGTTTTTTAATTTGTTGTTGTCCTTTTTCTGGTTGTGTGAGGAGACACAGTGTGTCTACCTACACCTCCACCTTGACCGGAAGTCTCCAGAAACATTTAAATACTATTTATTATAATGTCATCAAATAAATAACATATATTTTATCAATAAACATGTTCCATGGAAGTGTTTTTATTTAAGCATTAACTGTAGAACAGAATAAAGCAATTTTTCTTCTAGATAGTACTAGTGGGTTTAAAAAGTGCCCTAGCCTAGTTCCTTATCATTTTGGCTTATGTACCTCCATGATCTCCAGCAAAGCCTCTGTGACTGTTTCCAAGGATGTCAAAGCGAAAGTCTCCCTCTCATAGGAGCCAGGAGAGAATGACCTGTCCCGATAACTGGAGCGGAAGGCAATGACAGCGGCTGACTTCACTTTGCTGATGCCAAACAGCAAGTAAAATTTGGGTAATGAGAACTCTGTCAAACTGAGTCTCAAAACCTGCTTGGTCTCTTCTGTAAAAGGAAAAAAAAAAAGACTTTAAACATATTTTTTTTATTTTAAAACATATTTCATTTTAAATTTAGAAAATTTGAGTATCATGTCAAAATTACATAACTGTGCTCCTTAAACCAACGCTCTAGACATTATCTTAGTGTTCATTGCTTTAGCGCCATTTAATCTACAGATTTGCGCCAGCAATGCACCACCATCAACTTTGGCTTTGGCTTATGTGGCAACTACAAGAGTCTACAAGCCAAATAAGCACAGAAAGTCTCTGCTATAGCTTGATATGGCATGGAAGTAATTTATTATTTATTTTTTTAAAAGATTTTATCCATTTATTTCCAGAGAGGGATGGGAGAGCGAAAGAGAGAGAGAGAGAAACATCAATATGCAGTTGCTGGGGGTCATGGCCTGCAACCCAGGCATGTACCCTGACTGGGAATCGAACCTCTGACACTTTGGTTCGCAGCCCACGCTCAATCCACTGAGTTACGCCAGCCAGGGTAATTTATTATTTTTGAATTAGCAGCTTAGTGTTGGGGCACCACAATAAACAATAAGCTAATCTCTGTCGATCAGACGATGTAAATTGGAGACAGGAGCTGGTGAAACACCAATGACGGTCCTGGAACTTACCACTAAAATGAAGTTGTGAACAAGTACACAGAGAGTGAATGATATTAATGACCAATCCGTGTGTGGAAGCTCTAAGGGAGAGTGGCCCTGTGGCCACTAAGAACGTGACCACGTGGAAGAGGTAGGGGAGATGAGCCGCTACATCCAGGGAGTTGTTGAAGGACAGCATTAGCATGTAGCGTGCGAGAATAGCAATATCGTCCCACATGAGATGCTGCTCTAAAGTAGGGGTTGGAGATAAGCATGTCTTGTCAATTATTTTGCACATCCTTCCAATAACCTGTAAGGAAGCAGAGGTTTAAAAACATGGGGGCTAAAAAAGTTTTATCATTAAAAACTTTTAGTTTAACTAGTTACAAACAAAAAACCTTCTGATGATACAAAGAGATACATTATACTGCAGTCCAGAAGGCATAGGAAAAGTGATTACCTTGCTTGAAACCAATTTCACGTTTCCAGAAGCCAGAGCTACAGCAGTATCTGCCATCACCTCAGCTTTTATCGATCCCAAGCCACCCGTTGCACTGGTTTTGATGAAACTGTCTAATACAACATCAAGGAGATCTGTAATCTGGTGGAAGAGAAAAAAATAATCTTAGCCACTCTAGCAACTTAATTTTTACTTTAAAAACACTTCAAGGAACAGCCCTACATGAAAATTCTTTTTACCAGAGGCTTCTGAAATACTAAGTTTTATTCAGAGACGTGTCAGTAAATAAAACATGGAAAAGATAGGATGATAAAAGATGAAGACATTCCTTCAGAGATTAAGAAACTTAAATTAAAAAATTTTAAATCTCTGTATTAATTTTATCTACTTGCAAAGTGTCTCTGTTCTCTTCTAAGAAAATGTATGATCAATATAAAATATAATTATTTTAAAATATAGGACATGACATCAGTACTGAGATGTTTCATAGAGCTTTAAAACAGGCTCCAAGGTACTTAAAATTATTTGGAGGATTCGCAGCACTGTTTGAGTAAGAGTGACTACTTTGAAAAATTGATATGTGTAATTCTTGACAGATAAAGAGAAAATGCATATGCTGTATTTTAATATTGTTGTTTTATGCTAGAACTATAAATGAAAGCAGGTGTCCCTAATACCAGCATCAAGAAACATTTACTGACACCCATGGTATGTAAGCTACCAGAGCACATTATAAACACTATTTACCAGAAGTGACATCAGATTTCTATAGTTAAATTCTATCTAATTAGTTATGCCATGGAGAAGAGTGCTACAATAACTAGTTTTTCTTTGGCTGAGATATGCACTAGACATTTACAATTTTGAACCAGATCAAGAATTAGGTGGATGTCTATATGTTTTCTGATAGAGGGACTGTTCTTTTCTACAACTGTATCTCTAGTGCCTAGCACACTGCTTTGCACTAAGTGGGTACCAGACAAGTATCTGCACAGAGGAGCTACTAGGTAAATATTTAAGCAAATTCAATACCTGCCCAAGGCTCCCCCATATTTTTGCTTGGATGGATGGGTACATCTGCTTCTCATTTATGGTCATTGTTATTAGCTTATCCAGAATAGCAGTAACTCTTTGTCGTTTGGCATCATCGTTGTGCTTACAAAAACGGACCAGATTTGACAGCCATGGAGTCATGTATTCTAAACAAAGGTGTTTCAATTCAATACCTGGGGGAAAACATGCTGTTAGCATAAATGGTCAATGAAAATTCCATCAAAATTTATTTTAAATAATATTATTTTAATTATTTCAAATTATTTTCAAATAAAGGATTGGGAGAGGGGAAGGTAAAAGGTGAAGCCCATTACCTAGAATCAGGCCTAAGGAAAAGATATCTGGCAAATATATTACTGAAGATGGAAGTGAAGAAAGAGAGCAAGCCTTGAACAAAATTTTTAAGGCCAGTAAACCAATTTTGACAAGTTTTATCTTGTGTTTCACTCTTCACTATTTCTCTTCTAGCTAAAAATACTTACTAAGTTTTATTCCGATTGTAAAAGGAATATGTAGTAATCCTGGAAAGTTTGGTAAAAAGAAAGCATCACCACAAAAACGAAACCACTGTTACTATCCTGGTGCATCACCTCCACTCTCCTCAGGCTTCCCAATCTACATTGAGTTCATGTACATTTGTATGTGTTTGTACACATATAACCCACTCCAACTTCACAAAAATTAGGGTTAGGCTACATATGCAGTATGTTCTGAATCTTTTTTCATTAAACATTATACTGAGATTAAAAATTCTCCAAAAACATTTTTAATTTCAAAATAACTTCAGTCTTTTGAAAAGACATAAAAATAGTACAGAAATTCCTTTGTATGCTTTACCTAGAATCCCCCAATCCTTCTTGCTATGATACACACATACAACACAAACTTGACCGCTTTCGGTGTGCACACTTCAGTGGCATTAAGTGCACTGTTGTACAGCCATCACCATCCCTCACCTCTAGAATGTCTTCATCTTCCCCAACTGACATTCCGTTCTAAAAACATATTTTATGGCTTCACATTATTCTATCACATGGAGATCCAATGATTTAATCAGTTCTTTATTGTTTGACTTTTAGGTGTTCTAATTTTTTGCTATTATAATGTCATGTGAATTTCAAAAGGAGGCACAATAAGCCAATGGAAATAGAGGTCAGAATACTGGTTATGCTTGGGGAGAGGACAGTACTGAGAGGAGCCTTCTGGATGCTACACATGTTCTGTAGCTTGATCTGGGAGATGGTTTTGTGATGTAGTCACAAATAAAAATTCATCAAGCTGTTCACTTAAGACACTCAAGGTCTGGATACTTTACTGATAAGATATACCTCATTAAAAAAATCTAAATAAAAATAATGCTATGATAAACACCTGAACATTAATTCCTTAGAATAAATTATAAAAAGCAGAATGATGAGGCTAAAAGGACCTTCAGGGTCTTGACATGTGTGTCTAAACTGCTTTCTAGAAAAACTGACTGTTTGAAACTCTGCAGACTAGCACTGATGGTTTGTAAAAACTCTCTGCCAGTCTGACAGCTGAAAGTTGTCTTACTATTTTATTATTTTTTCAGTTTATATTTGTTTAATTTTATTAGTGAACTTCTTAATATATAAATATCCTTTTTTAGTATGATCTGAATGTTGCTGTTGGTCCATTTTTCTTATGAATCTATAACTCTTCATGATTAATATGTTAATTTTTCTCATATTTGCTACAATCGTATTTCCTAGTTTTTACATTTCTCTCACTTTTACTTTTTTTGAAATAGACATGTTTTGAAGTTTTATGTAGTCCAATCTGCTCACTGTTTCCATCATTTGTTTGCTTCATAAATTCTTACCCAGGAAGCAACTAAATCTTCTTCTTCTTCTTTTTTAATGGTTCCAGCTTTTCTATTCAACTCTTATGCACAGTTAGGCCACATTTTGATATCTTGTGGTTTGCGGTGAAGATGAAGGCCCAACTTAATTCATTTCCCAGCCTTCCTTCTGAAATGATTTAATCTTTCCCGAGTTAGACTGGTGTTTCTCTGTCAGTCTGTCTCCTGAGCTGATTTGACTGCTGACTCTTTAATAGCTGTGTTTTAACTACTGTACCCTTATAATGTATTCAAATATCTGTAATAGCAAGTCGCTCTCAGTTTTCTTTCCTTTCACTGTTTTCTTAGCTATTCTTTACTTTCAAGTAAAATTTGTAATCATTTAAAATTCTGCCTCATTCTTAATCCTCAAATCTCATAGAATTCTGACTGGATTGCATTGAATTCGTAATAATCTGGAAAGAATTATTCATTCAGGAGCACAGTATTCTTGGTCACTCAAATCTCTTTGTATATTAACATTTCTCATTAAAGCTTTATACTTTTCTTGTTTTGTCAGTCTTATGCTTTTTTTACAGTTATATTCCTACATTCATTATTATGTAAAATACACAGTGACCTGATCTCGATGAACTGTCAAAGCCTTCAATTACCTAATACAGAAAAACCAAGAAAAATACAGAAAAACAGGTTGTATGTGCTATGGAGAGCGGAAGGGAAGACACTGTTAGGGAATGAACTGAGAGAAGGACAACAGCTGCACTTCCACAGGGTCAGAGGTGGACAGGCGCAGAGGGAAAATGTTAGTTAAGTTCATGAGACCCACTACACAGAGCCCAGGCAGGAGGTGACGCTGGACCCTGAGTCATGTGCCGCTGCATTCTCTGGGAACTGACCAGGAACAGTACAATCACAGTTCAAAGCCAAAACTGAAGAGAGGAGACAATGCTTCCCTAAAATCAAGGAGACAGTGCAGATACTTGACTCATTCAGAATAATCTGCTGAGAAGAGAAATACTGAAGCTAATTAAACTGAAACATGGTGAGAGAAATACTTTGTGAGTGGTCCAGAGACATGTAAGGTATCAAAACCTTGCCATCTTGCTTTTATTGCCAGAATTTTAGATTTTTCAATGTGGTATGCCAGAGTTCTTTCAGTTACACAGTACCACAGATGAAAAATTAGATAGAGAAGTAAAACTATAATCAATTACAGATTTCACTGGTCAATTCTGAAACGAAAGCATTTTCTTTGAATTTCCTTAGAGTCATTGTTAACATATTAAAGAAAATTATCATTACTTACTAGATTTGCTAAATCCAGAAATACACTCTTCCAAAAATTCTAAGGTGAGGTGTGGCTCATTGGCAGCCAGCGTCTTACTAATCGAGACGATGAAGAGGGTGTTGTTAGCAGGGATACATAAACCTGATGTCTCTAGTAACTGGCCCTCGATTTTTAAATTAAAGGTACAAGTTAAGGCACACAGAAGATTATAGGCAGCTGACCTAGGAGAAAACACAAATGAAATTGTTTTAAGACTTATTTTTTCTTATAATTAAAAAAATTTTTTAATAACATACAACTTATGACTCTATTACAAAGCATAATCAACTATTTTTATTTATTTGTTTGTTTGTTTACTTATTTTTAGAGAGAAGGAAAGGGAGGGAGAAAGAAAGGGGGAGAAACATCAGTGTGTGGTGCCTCCCATGCACCCCTCACTGGGAACCTGGCCTGCAACTCAGGCATGTGCCCTGACTGGGAATCAAACCTGCAACCTCTTGGTTCGCAGGCCCACACTCAATCCACTGAGCTACACCAGCCAGGGCCATAATCAACTATTTTAAAATTTTATGATCAACTAGAGTTGTTACGATTCTATGGTAAAACCAAAATGCCCCTTGGTTATTTAAGGATTTTTTTTTTTCAGGGAGAGTTGTGACATACTCGGAAGAACACTTTGAGGCTCCTAAGACAGGTGCACAGAAGGCCTTCCTAAGAGACATTTCATAAGGAAATACAGTATGAATGGTCTGTGGCCTACAGTGGATCAACAGAAAGAAAGTAAAGGCGCAATATATATTCAACGAAGCTGAAACTCACATTGTTGTTCCTCTACCTGCTAGACCCAATTATAATGGGGATCCTGAGAAGAGAAATGAGGTGGCCCCTCATCAAACTAAAATGTTAAAATCTTTAATCAGCACCTACTGAATTTCTTCCTGGGTGTCCTACAAGTTAAACTACAAACTGGTGGTCAAAAAAATTGTAAACATAATTAAGTTCCCTTCTATTCTTTCCATGAACTTCTTCCATATAACTAAAAACAAAACAAATCAAAAAAACCTAATATACACATATTCAGATTCCATTAGAACCAAAAATTCCCTTATGTCTGAAAAATATATTTAAACAATTTGAAGACAGCTCAAAAACTCATATTCCATTTTTAAATTTTTAATTTTCTCCCCTATACAACAAAAGAAATGGTTTGACTGCTTGGCAAATTTCAGGTTTTCCTTACCTCTGAACTTGCATCATGCTAACATATTTATGCAACAGACACATAGGGAGGAAAGTCTACCAAAAGGCTTTTCTCAGTCATGACACACTTCAGCAAAAAGCAGTAGCTGTCAGCTTGCTTTATTTCACAAGAGAAGAATATAGGTTTATCAAGCTAATAATTTTTTTTAAAGATTTTATTTATTTACTTTTTTAGAGAGGGAAGTGGGGGGAGAGAGGGGGAGAGAGAAAGAAAGAGAGAGAGAGGGAGAGAAACATCAATGTGCAGTTGCTGGGGGTCATGGCCTGCAACTCAGGCATGTACCCTGACTGGGAATCGAACCTGCGACACTTTGGTTCGCAGCCCGTGCTCAATCCACTGAGCTATGCCAGCCAGGTGAGCTAATAATTTTTAGAAGACTGATAGCATTCTTTAATGAGTAACTTTGAATTAGAAATTAAGGACATACACATAGCTCCATTTTCCTAAGATGAGAATATTAACATTGTCATTTCTAAGTTTATATATCTCTTACTAATGCCCGGCAATTCTGAGTTATGCTATTTTGACATTGACTTTGACTCTGACTCTGTATATTTCAACAACTATAAAGAACTTGGGTCCTTCAACTTGGGGGAAGGTGTCAGATTCCTCAGAGATAATAAAAGTAAAGAACACATAAAATTTTGTGTATTATTTCTAAGAGTTCACGGACCCCTTGAGACCCATCCAAGTAGAGAAATCTTGATTTTTTTTTCCTTTTAAATAAAGGAGATCTATAATCCTAAAAGGCCCACTTGTAAAACCTGGACTATATTATATCCTAGGGAAGGTTTTTCTGAAGCTAAGAATTTATATCTGTAAAAATCTTAACAGTCTCAAGGTACCTGGGAGGAAAAAAAAAAAATGATTCTAACATGAAATGGAGAAGGGCAAAAGCAGGAAAGACTACAAAGACACGTGGGGGTGGGGGTAGGGAACATGGGGAGAAATAATATTTACTAAGCAAAAACTATGTGCTAAGTGCTATACTACAACACACACTATTCATTAAACACTTGTACGTATATGAGGATGGCACTGTCACTTTTATTTTAAAAATGAGGAAACCTGAGCTTGGAGAACTTTAGGACTTTACCTACAGCCATACGTAACAGACCTAGCTGGCTACACAGACCATGCCCTTTCCTGATTTCTGCTCAGATTATCAGGCCTACACATAACCAATGATGTCTGCTCAGATGACAGCTATATTTATCTTAAGATTTTTTCCCAGAATTTTCTTAAAGTCACATGGATGGAAAGTATGCAATAATGTTATTGAGTTATTAAACACTAAGCCTTCCTCTGTAAAACAATGATAATCTGATTTAACTGTGAGGAACCTTAAGAGTGATGTACTCTTGAACACGGGAAAACTTAATTAGAGGACTCAGAGGAGGGGAAACTTAGTTTAAGAGCAGACTTGAAAAAAATGTATTTTGGAAAAAAAACTCAAAAACTGCTATGCTGTCTGTTTCAGATGAAAGTTTCCTGGACAAAGAATATACATTGGTTTAGTGTGACTCACCCTATTCTGAATTCCGCAGTCCATGTGAACACCCCACAACTTGATGAGGTCACGCTGGTTAACCAACGTAACATACCTTCCAATTTACAGTATTAGGGTAGACAGGCTGCTTTAAAAGCTTATTAAGTGCTCTCATGTTAAAAGCCACAAACCCTGAATAAAGTTGAAGTGAATTTTTTAAAAACTTACCGTAAACTCGGGTCTGAACTGCCTAAATTGAGCAATGCAATATTGAGCAGTGTCCCAGGGACATCTTTGGGCCGAATCTTGGTGTGCTGGGGGATGGAATCAGGCTGCGACAGCTCCCAGCGCGTCCGGATGTGAATGATAGACTGGACAATGGCATCACACTCCTGGTGCATGAAGGTGAGTGGTGTGCCCTGGTTTGCGATGGTTAAGGTGAACTGGTTCTCATCCACCAGGCAGATTTCTTCAATTTCCGAAGCATAATAGATATCATTTAAAAAGACTGACTGTCCCAGGACTTTTGTTCGCTCTGCTGAGGTTACCTGAACAGCAGTAGAACCAACCTGGAAAGTGATGGTGAGAGGGTGGAATGAAGAAGAATTAAATTCCATTATGTTGAATTGTAAGAGGCGCCAAAACCAAATGACCAACCTACCAACTGAAATACTATGTTTGCCATTTAAGGGAGAGTATTTGCCATTATATATTCAAATGGGTTCAATAATTACTATGATTAATGCTCTCAAAAGAGACTGAAAACATAAAAAAAAATAATTTAGTTTTTAAAAAAGGTCAAGAATCCTATAGACAAATACTGACTTTATCCTGAAGCTATATGTTCCTCACTGCAAAAAGCATGTAAAAATCAGAATTCTCACTAGATAATTTCCACTTTCTGCACATCCCTGCCATCTGACTGCTATGTAGCAAATTGCCCTCTGTTTGCTACACTCTTCTGCCTCCCACCCAAGCTGGAATATAATTAAGTGTACATGTCTCGTATCATCCACAGGACCTCCATGAGGATAGAAAGCTTAATTTTTCTCCCTCTGGACTTTACATTTGATACACTACCACAGGGACACTGAGGAAGGCCAGTATACAGTCTGGTTAGTCAAGGAAGGCAATGAGCCCAACAGAGTGAAACTTACTTTAATAGAAACCTTGGTGTCTTTGTGAGCTAGCCTGAGAGCATTGTGGAACACCTTCAGGTCCTCTTCTAAAGCCAAGGTGGCAGCGGGCAGTTTCTGTTGTTCGTGTTCTATGTGCTCAGCCAGCTTCCCGGGGCAGTCTATGAAAATGAGCCTTTTGCTGCCTTTGAGGCCAGTCAGCAGCCGCTCGTGATACTTGGTATACTCCCTGACCCAGGAGTTACAGTTATAGATGTAAACTGCAGAGACGTTGTCATAAGCAAAGCCAGGAAAAACAACAAACCACTTAGAGAGGAAGTCCGTTTTAAAGCGATTGCTAGGCCCAGTATGGGTAAGGTCCACTACAATTTCATATGGCTTTGCATAATATGGCTTTAAAGTCAGCAAGACGTGATATATTAGCAAATCCCCATTGATCTGACCAGTTTTGAACCTAAGGAAGATGACAAAAAAAATAGGGACACAGTTTGTTAACAGAGTTCTGAATAGATACATAGATGCTACTAATCTATTTTATTAATTTATTTTCTGACTAGTTTTCTAGAGAAAACTAACAATAACACAAAACAATTATACAAAGTCTGGATCCTTTTTTTGTAATCAGTTGTTCTTTAGACATTGAGAAGTAAAGCAGAGGAGATGAATCTTCAATTCAAAAACTATGAGCAATGACAGTAACAACAAACTTGTCCATCACAGCCAATCAAAAAGGATGGCAGTGGACATTGGTTAGTGGCCTCCAGGTCCACCAGACTTCTCAGGTGAACTGTTTAGGTGGGAATGACCCCCCTGGAGCTGAATGGCTTTAGTGAATCCATTTATTCTACTATGACCAGAGACAATGGTTCAGTAATGATCACATGACTCAAATGAGGACAACCAGAGCCCAAGAGGCCCCATTCAGAGACGGCAGTGCAGACTGCTAGGGACTGAGACATGTTCTTCCCTGATGTTTATAGACAAGGCAACACAGAGCCATGGCAGTTGTTAGCTCTTACCTTGAGATATGAAGGACAGTGTGCCTAACAACCAAAGGTATTGAGCGGAAAAATAAAGAAACTTGCACCCTGGCCATTTCATCTGAGTCCTAGATAAAGCATCTCCTGGGATCAAATTTATCCCTGGACTATGCAAGTGTATGAGCCAATCAGTTCCATTTTTTCATTAAGGCAGCCATATTAGGGCGATGTGAGCGGCCAAGGTTAAGGACCCACAGAGAGTCCTGAAAAACACAGCACTAGAATTTCGGTCAAACAACCTACGTGAACTTCGGCCCAATGTTCTTTAGTTGATCACTGTGGTAGTACTGCTACAACCTAGGCTGAGTTTTTAGTTTTGTTGAGAGGAAATAAGACAAAAATATGACAAGTGAAATGATTTTAAAATAAAAGGAAACTATTTCAAGATAAAAGAAAAGATATGAGGTGGGGATATAATCACTTATCGAAGGGACTGCAGGGGAGAAATCCTCCTGTTGAGTTTAGGAGAGGGGGCAGCAACACAAACTGGGTGAGTAGCCAGTGAACGCTACTTAGAGGAACGGCTGGAGTGGATTGGAGGAATTTCAAACTCGATAAGAAGGGGGACTGGTGGGCCTCATTGAGAGAGGTAAAGAGGAAAAGAAATAGGTAATTAGGTGTGTTGAGGCAACAGTCAACTAGTTTACCAAGAATGAAGGATTCACACAGAGAAGTTTGAACAGATAAAGCTGGAAAAATACATTAACAGCTAAATTGTGAAGGGACCAAAACTGTTTAACTAAGGGGCTCAGGACCCCTCCCAGCATGCTCTGTGCAGCACCAGCAAGATAACTAGTGTGGTGCTTAACAAAACTGCAATTCCCGGCTCCCAGACTGGACCTACTAGTGTGTATAAATGGTATAGACAGAGGGGCCCAACAATTTTCACTGTTTTTAAACAACCTTCTCATCTAATATTTATGTGCATGAACATTTCTGAATCACTGCTATAACTGTCGAGGAGTTGGTATTAAGGAGTTGCTCAATTACTTTTTTGAAAGAAAGGGGTGGTATGATCAAAGGAAGTAATATACACAAGATATACAAAGGCATCATGACCAGTAAAAAGATACCCTAGTGGCCTAGGTATGGCCTCACAAGGATCTAAAATAGAGTCACACACCGCGTAAAGACGTGGGGTTATGTTCTGAGAAACTCACTGTTAGATGACTTCATCTCTGTGCACACATCGGAGTGCACTATCGCAAACCTAGATGGAGGAGCCCAATACTGTCATTGTATAAGCTGTACCTTTATATGACTGGCAGTGCCATAAGTTTGTTTACCAGCATCACCACAAACACGTGAGTAATGTGTTGTGCGATTATGTTACCATGGCTACTAGGCAACAGAAACTTATCAGCTCCATTATATAATCTTATGAGACCACCATCATATATGCAGTCTGTCATGTGGTACAAGACTATAGTAAGAAACTGATTCAAGGATATAAAGAAAGGATCAACATTATCTTAGGTCTGATTGGGGCTATAAGAAAGAACTTGAATTAAAGGGACTTGCTGTACACCAAGCCTCTGAGATTATACAGAATGTTGTTATCATGAACAGAAAGAAAGAGATCGTGAGGGACTACCACTTTTGAGAGAAAAATGAGATCCATTTTAGATTCACTGATGATGGTGATGAAAGGACATTCAAGGGGTGGAGGAAGGGAGGGAGATGGGAGGGGAGAGAGGGAGAGAGGGGGAGGGAGAGGGCGAGGACCCACTAAACCACACGAAAGCATTTTATGTCCCATATCATCTAAATTTACTATGTACTTTCTCAAATCACTGCAGTTCCACGGTTTGAGATGTGGGTTTGTTTCTATTATTTGACCAATACCCCAGAGGTCTCCAAACTCATGTTATCAATCAGTCTGAGGCATCCAAATAAAATTTTTAGAGATGATTTTAATGCTGCAGGGAAAATGCCATTTCATCTTCTTTTGAATGACACTAATAGATTATTCAAAAGCTACACCAGGCATATATAATTAGTTTAAGGTCAAAAGACACCAAGCAGAAAACCCTCCCTGCTCTGGAGGCGGGGATTTGCTCTACAAAGCCTCCTGTCATGCCAGCGGCCAGCTAGACAAGTTGGAGACTCTGTTTTTCCCCCCCTGTGACATGTGCTTTAGTTGCAGCGAAAAGGAAATGTGTCATCTGTGGTTTGGTCTGAAAAGTGGAAAGCTAGCTGCACATGTCCTTTTTTACTGCAGATTTGCTTTACCGTTCGTATTTCTCCAAGTCTGCCCTGCTTCAAATTACTTGGAAGCTGTGCCTCAAGACAAGAAGTGGCTTATTAAAATAAGGTGATAATCAGATTTTGACCATTTTGTAAGGTATGTAATATATATCGTTTTCTTATGCCTTTTCACTTATAACTTTGTACAGATTACTGTTTGAGGAAGTTCTACAAATAGTGCCTAAGAATCTTACTAACAAAGTAGAACTGTAGTAATTGAAATGTATGCTGTCTGTTCTTTCCTGTCCTATTAGGTAAAACTTAAGTTAGAAATGGTACAGATTTACCACCAACATAGAGTTTTAAACTAGGACTAGGAAGGACCTGAGTTTAAACTCTACAGCAAATTGAAAAGTTCAGTTATGCATTAAAAAGTTTAAAAAATAAATTTCTTACTACTAATGTTTAGGCATCATAAATTTTATTAAAAATGACCAGAGATTAAAAAAAAACTTTTGATAACATAACCTAGCCTCGGTGGCATACATCAGGGCTGTAGAGACAGCCCTCGATTCCCACTTGCTGCAGTTGTTTATCTGGGGGTGACAGTGCATCTGGCAGAGAACAATCGACAGTGGGCCCATTATCTGCCCCGTGGCAGGAACTGTTAAAATGTCTACAGGCACCGTGATGATGCCACTCTGTTCGTGAACTAATGGGACAAGGATAACCCACTTTACATTATTTTAGCATCTATGCACAAGGCCAGTCCAGTACAAAAGGAGGGCAACTACTTGCTAACCCAATTTAAAGTGTTTCTCTTTGTGAAAATATCATAAAGTAGCCAAAGATTTATGCCATTTGACTTAAAAATTGAAGCTAAACACTATTACATTGAAGTCCGGTGCACCATATCTTTCACTATCAAAGGTCATAATCCAAAAAGTAATCTTAATTCTAAAGCACATAATAAAGGTTTTTCCCTTTTTACTAATAATAGGATATATTATTTCAGAGGTTAATTTCCAGCAGCATCATTTATTATATATTACTTTTTATAAACTATTTCTTATAAAATTTTGAAATTCATAAAAGTATGACTAGAAATAGCATCTATGTTGCTTGGGACTGGGTCAGAAAAAATGAATCTCAGGTACCTCCTAGACCTACAGAATCAAAATCTGCTTTTAAAAAAGGAGAATTTAGTTTTTTCCTAGCTCCCTCAAATAAATGCTAACAATAAAACAGTCTTATAAAAGTAGCTCCAACAAACTGAAATATTATCACAAAAGAGATAGCTCAATAATGGTGACAAATCTGTCTGGTTTACCAGTACCTCAACAGATATGCCAATTCTATTTAAATCTTCAATCCTGTGGTGAATTGAATAATGAGAATTAGGAACAGACCTGTCCCTTTTTGTACTGGCTTCCAGGGAGCCCAGAACCAAAACTGAAATTCAACTGAAATTCAACTCTTTCATTTGTATGTTGAGATACTTACCATGTGCCTTGACTTACCACTTCAGTCTAAAGCCCCATGATCCTGATGCTCTATTTCTTCCTATTTCATTGTTTTATTTATTTACTATTCTTTTAATTTTTTCCATCACCATTTACCCCCCATACCCTCCTCCACCTCCACCCAACCCCGTCCACTCCTCAGTCACCACACTGTTGTCCGTGTCCATGTGCTCTTTCTCGGTTTCTTTTCCTGCTCCCCGCCCCACCCCCAGCTGTCAGCCTGCCCTCTACCTACCAGTCTGTCTCTAATTTGTTTGTATAACTTATTTATTTTTAATTATATCAAAATATTCACAGAGCCCTGGCTGAGTGGCTCAGTTGGTTGGAGCATCATCCCATACACCAAAAGGCTGCAGGTGTGATTTCCAATAAGGGTGGATACAAGAGGCAACCAACTGATATCCCCCTCCCCTGCCCTGCCCCACCCCCTCCCTCTCTTCCTCCTTCCCCTTCTTCTCTTCTCCAAAATCAACAAACATATCCTTGGGTGAGGATTAAGAAATATATTCATAGGGAAAAAAAAGCTAGGCATAAATGATATAAAAAAGTCAGTAACTTTTGTTGAACTTTTAAGATTATTCGGAAGAATTCTGCCTCTTTTTCTTTGTAATGCCAGATTTTTAGCTTGATAAACTGGCATGCCTTTGGCCTTTGCTTTCAGAAAGCCAAAGTGCGTCAGGGGTACAGAGGTAAAAAGAGGGAACCAACATCATAAAATTGCTTTCACAAGTAATGGGGATATATTTCTAAGTCCCAGTTTCATTCTAAACTACAAGATAAATACCCAAAAAGGAAAAAAAAACCCACCTTGAATTCCTATTTGAAGTTCATTTTCTTTTGGTTGCTACCACACTTCCCCTTTCCTGACCAGAAAAAAAACTACTTACATTTTATTTTCATACATGAAGCAAAATGCTCAAGGCCACATTCTTCCTTTACTACAGAGATTGATGACACATCTATTAGAAGGTGGGGAGTTTCTGCAAAAAAGATCCTTAAATGGGCAAGGGAGGGAATCAAAAAAGTAAAAATAAAAGCAGAAGTACCTGACTCAAAACTGAAGCCTAGCATGTGTAAGAGGGAGAAAACTATATAAAACCATGGTATTCAGTCTACAATAATTAATAGTTATCCGTAATGCTAACTTCTAGCATTTAAAAGAGTAACAAAATTAAACTGTTTATTTATATGTAGCTGAAGAGAAAAGAATCAGCTGAGAAGGAATTCCAACAGGACTGCAAACGTTAGGCATGAATTTGCAGCTTACTTCTAACACATAAGCTGTCCGTCTATCTACAGGAACCCAAACCTAAAATCTTCACAAATTAACAATTTATATTTTTACCCCAACAGATCACCCGTACACTCATGGACATGAAACACATACGACATTACCTGCATCTGGCCTTTCTGATGACAACAGTTTTTTCTTTGTCTCCTGGAACAAAGGCAAACTATACCCATCTGTGGGCTAACAATACTACTGTCTGGGATCCAGATATTCAAAATAAGACAGGCAGAAACCAAAATCAAAACATGAACACTAACTCAACAACTCCTAAAGTCGATAAAAAGAGTAATTCCACAAATATGCCTGAAAGAGCAACATCATCTCACACCGCATCTTTAACTCCTGTATCTGACCTGGAGTTTCATACACCTTCTGTTCCGAGGAACAGCGCTCCAACATCACAGAACATCGAAAACACAAGCAAAAGCCACAGTGAAATTTTCAAAAAAGACGTCTGTGAGGAAAACAACAACAAAATGGCCATGCTAGTTTGCTTAATTATAATTGCAGTGCTTTTTCTTATCTGCACCCTTCTATTTCTATCAACGGTGGTTCTGGCAAATAAAGTCTCATCTCTTAGACGATCAAAACAAGCAAACAAACGTCAGCCTAGAAGCAATGGTGATTTTCTGGCAAGCAGTGGTCTATGGCCTGCTGACTCAGACACTTGGAAAAGAGCAAAACAGCTCACAGGGCCCAACCTAATGATGCAATCTACCGGAGCACTCACAGCACCGAGGGGAAAAACAGATGAAGGAGGAACTGAAAAACTCACTAACAGGTGCTTTTGTGAAGAAAATGCAAAGTAACAGTGAGAAACTTTATGGAGTAAAAACAAAGCCACTTTGCTATTTAACGCCAACACGTTGGTCAGATGGCCTAAAATCTGACATCGCAGGCCTTGCAATTTAGACTTAAGCAGGTGGAAACGGGAGACGTATGCCTGCTTACTTCATTATTTAAGTTGTGCACTTCTGTTCTGACACTGAATATTTTAAAAAGCAATAATAAAACAACCAAAAGTTTAGGCAAGTTTTAAAAAATAAGTTGAAGGAACTGACTAACAGAGGTAGAAATGGACAATTAAATATTTCTTGTCTGACTATAGTAGTTAGATGATCTTTGTCTGAATATCAGTGAACTTTGAAGAGTTTCAGTGTGTCCTCAGAGGCAAGTAAATGCTTTAACATCTAACAGAAATCAAATTCCTAATGTGCAGAGTTGGACTGTATAGTTTAATGGTACCTTCTTTGCTGAATGTGACAAAACCCGTATCAGCTCTTATATCAACACAGCTAATTTTCTGCTAGATGTTTTCATCTTTACATATGACACACACAAGAGTTTTTCTACTATAAATATTTAACTAAAACTTTTAATTTTGTATAATAAATTAAGACTTGTCAGAATAAAACTGACTGTGTATATTTGCATTCACTTTATCATCTGAGGGAACACAGGCAAAGACCAGGAAGCAGTAAGGCACAACTGAAACAGAAGAGCTTTAACAGCCACAGCGGGAGACCAGCCACAGCGGGAGACCGAGTGCTGACGACATAAAGCACACCTTACTGTTTAAGTGTAATATCCCTCTATCCTATAAATGCTGCTCTTTGGATTATTTATAGCAAACATTCAAAAGTTAATTAGTTTTTGAACTTTGAGGATGCCAAATGGCCTAATACATGACCAATTTCATTTTTTTAATCCTTAAGTGGGATATGAGCAAAGGAAGGGTGTGTGTGTGTGTGTGTGTGTGTGTGTGTGTGTGTGTGTGTGTTCAATTTGGAAAACAGGATACTTCAGGTAAATGTTTAACCTTTTGAAAAGTTGGGTTCAAATAAAATAATGACTTACTTAAAATAAGTCAAGACTTCTATCTTCAATTAAATGCAGGGTCTGGCAGAAGTTAATGCCTGCTTGAGTGTAGTTGGTAGGGTAATATTATGGATGTAATAATTTATAGTTTTAATTTGAATATTTCACCTAAAATGTCATATGGCATGCTTGAGTGTGATATTTTTATGTTACAAAATTGCATGCTTATGATTTTGTAATTAAAAAAGGAGAGTTATTTGTGCTGGAGCCTGTATATAACAAAAGTTGGTCTGAGAGACTTTCCAACTACTTACTGAAATTGACACAGGCCATCCTAATTAAACACCAGGCCACATTTTAAAAAATTACATTCCTATTGAACATTTATTTTGGACAATATGCTAGCCACTTAAGAAAACATTTCATGTATTTTTTTTCAGGTATGACCACAATATTATTCTCCCTTCTAGGTCAGCAATTCTCATCTTGGTTGTGCATCAGTTACCTGACACGTTTTAAAAACTCCCCAATGCCTAACTCCCACCCTCTCTCCTGATTCAATTAGAATGAGGTGAGCTCCAGGCACTGGTGATTTCTGTGTAACTCCCTAGGTGATGATACTGCTCTTTGTCATCAAATTAACCTCTTATAAGTTCCATGCCCCAAAAGATCTAGGTTACATCTTAAAATGAGAAAAAAAATAGAGCATCAATTTTATTACCAATTTAGTACCATTTGTCAAAATATTCATGTCCTAAATAATAAATCATAACCATATCATTCCAGATAAATCTAAACATCAACAAAGTAAAAAAGGAAAGCAGGAGCATGCTGACGCTGAGCATGGTGACAGAAAGGAGGCTATCTTCTAGAGGTGAAAGGGGCCAGGCTGGAAATGAAACTGGGCAGAGCCCCTGTTTTGCACAAATTAAAAATTTGAGATTGTATACTGGAATAAATAAGGATAAGTGCCAGCACTCCTTGAATCAAGTATCACATATAAATACTTAGAGGAAATTAAAATAATTTAGTGTCTTTTTAAAAAGAAGTTAACTAGGCAACTACTTCTTTCATACTCAACATACAGGTCAAATATTTTCTCACAACACAAGAAAGCGTCTACCGCGGGGTTACTGAAAATTCCTCCCTCACTACCTTGGCTGTTAAACTTGCTCCCTCAGAATGACACCATCCAGTGACAGACAGCTCCATGAACAAATAGAAGTAGTTCCTTTCCAAACTTAACAATGTTTAAAAATGATAGGTTAAGATAGGTTTTGAGTTAAAATTTTAAAGGTTGTTTTTGAACAAAGACATTTTTGTTTTATACCCATGGGTATTATGAACCACATGCTTAATTTAGGGATTTTAAACATTTATAGTATTTTTGCTTTCTTTGCTAAAGTATGTTATGCTTTACAGTACAACTCTTTTAAAAAGCTTTTTTTTTTTGTTCTAAGTTATGAGTCCCTTGCAGTTAGGAACTGGGTCTTAATAATCGGTGTTCTGTTTCAGTGACCAGGGGAAAAGCAGGACACGATTTAATACTTATTGTTTGCTTCTACTATAACACACGTTATGCTGGGCACTTTACATTTATTTAATCCCATAATAAATATATAAATTAGAAATTATGACCTCAATTTTTCAGATGAGGAAAGAGGCTAGGTGACTTGGCCAAAGAAATTTTTATTCAGACTGACTCATACTCTTTGCTCAGTTATTTAAAAAATAATTCCAAATTTTATTTTTCCACTTAGAAGTACCTACTTAGTAGATAATCAAAGAGTTGTGGACTTGAACTCAAAAATCATTTAACAAAGTATTTGGTAAAAAAAAGTTAATTATATTTTTACCTAGCCTTTGCCTAAATCATGTTAGAGAAACGAACATCAACTACCTACTGTGTGTGAGACAGCTGTAGCTGTTATCTTATTTAATCCTCCCAACAATTCAGTAAGAAAAATGTTCCTCCAGAGGAGGAAATGGTGCTTCAAAAGTGCAGCAACTTGCTGAAGGTCATATGTAAACAAAATAAACACCTCACTCACTTCTTACTAAAGAAATCTCACTATGAGTAATTACCCAACTGACCGTTTTGCAGAATATACATTCACTTGCTCTCTAAGGCTCTATTCTAAATATTTAAATTATATACCTAATCATATTACTAGAGAGCCTCAAGTATTTACTTACAAACATTAATTAAAAGCACTCAAATCATATAGTTCCAAATTGTGTTTCAAAATAAGTTCTGTTAAAGTCAGTCTTAGTCATTTTGTGGCTTATTGCACTTCCGGAACCAACTATTGATAAACTTCCTCTTTTTCAACAGAAACCATTTCAGTTTGCTAGAGGACCATTTTAAATCTAAATTGAACCATCCCTTTTGCTTTCTTAGCCAAATCACCAAAATGTCCAGTTAGAACAAGAATTTAGCATCCTGCAAAAGAAGTTAACAGCTGAGGTAAGAAAACTTTCACACAGGCAATCTGGCTTGATCTTTGTTTTATTTAAAATATCTATTTACAACTAAAATGATATTAATGTTTTAAACTTAAACTCTGGTAGTCTAAAGATGTCTATAACAGATTTTGTGATTTTTGTTGCATGGAATTAAAAACTACTCAATGCTGAGCTTGGCTTGGAGAAAAAAATTTCACTTAAGTTTGTATAGTATAAAATTTCACCTTGGTTTGTTAAGCTTAGTTCCATAATTAAAAGAAATAAACTACAGTCATGGCTGATAAAGCTAAGGGCTAGGAATTACACTAGAATCCATGAGATATACTGAGCTTACAACCCCAAAATACCATTGTCAAAAATTTTGATTTGCTTCCTATAGTTTTCCTGTACATGATATAATCCATAGATTTAAATTATCTTTATTTTTAAATCCCCTTTAGTTTCCATAGTAAGGTTGGTCACCTTCACTTAATTTAAAAGGAAGCCAATGGAGATTAGATGAGGTACTTGATTACCATCATTATATATATTTTATTTTTTATACAAATAGAATTTTATATTTAAGTAATAGTGATGACATGAAAAATATTATCACTCATTTTAAAGTTCATTAAGACAAAACTGTTAAGATAAAATGTAGGCATATATATTCATATCATCTACATATTTATGTCACATTATCTGAGCCTTTAGTAAATTGTATGAAATAGATACAGAAAAAAAAAACACCCAGAGTAAATAACAGAAAATTACTAATAGGCATAAAAGGTGTCTACTCAGTGAATAAACTGGGAAATTACAAAGTAAATATCTTCAAAATAAAAATTACAAAGTGTTTACATAGATTTATAACATCATGGAATAATTCACAGTGCACGATAGTTTATATCAATATTTCATAAATACTTATGACTTTCCCTTATAAGTCCACTTTGGATTTCTTCTACATAACTACTAGAGAAGTTAGAAAATATTAGACAAGACTTGGCTATGTACTTTTAAAGGGTCAGTCCTAAATTTAGAGTTTAACAGTACTTGAGTTTTTCAACTAATTCCAATACAATTCTACTTAGAAGAAAATTATGAATTCTGTGTAAGTTTGAATTTGTTAAATATAAGTCTACTCCTTTTTTAATGTCCAATTTTTAAAAATCACATCAAATGTGACAGCTTATCGGCTAATCATTCAAAACTCTCATAACTATTTTTATGGAATCACAGGACTAAAACGGTTTTCTAGTAGTTCTTTTCCTACCCTTTACAAGAAGCTACCTCCAAAAGTTACTTATACATCTGTTTCCAAAGAGTTCATATCTCCTTTATTCATAAAGCATTTCTATTTCATAATTTTACTATAAAAGCCAGTGCAGCCTGTATGGAGTGACATGTCAGAGAGGGAAAGGGCTCTGGTACAAGAGTGACATGGTTTCTGTATTAGTGCCACTACTTAGAGCTGTGACACTCTGGCAAATTACCCAACTTCTCTGTTGTCTTAGTATCTTTTTCTGCAAGATACAGACACCACCACCTTGCTCAGTAAAGTGGGATAATACTCAGGAAATGGTGGAAATTATTATTGATAAAAGATGGCTATCAAATACGTATCATTATCATAGTTCAAGGTTACTTTCCCTGTTTGTTTTCCTCAAGATATAGGATAGCTGTTTTTTTTTTTTTCCTGTTATGGCTTAACTTCACTAGTTCAAGATATACTAGCACTAATTTTTAATCTGTTATATCTATATTATAACTTGTATCAAACGAACTGAAACTCAGATACTATTTCTGATACTGCTACCTACACTTGCCTTTTTGTCTAGGAATATGCTCTCCAAATCTCCCTGTTTCCCTGGAAAAAACAATGACATATTTCTTATTATGGCCAACTTAACAGCATTAATTTTAAATGCTGCACCCTCTATGTACTTATGCATTATATTTATGAGTATATGTCTAATATATGGGACTTCTGCTTTACTGTAATTGCACTTTAACATGCTGAGTTAAAACAACTCACATTTTTTATTCTTTTAAAAAATTTAAAATTTTCAGGAAAAGCAAAGGACCAAAATCATAGATTTAAAACTCGAAGTGCCAACCTAAAATAATGAGCAAATTATTACTGTATGA